CATGTTGTTTTCCCACAGCTCCGATCCAACCAAGCAGTTTCCATTCCTGTGGACTGACTGCTTCTTAGGTTGTCCATCCTTCCACTGTGGGGAGTTGGCAAAAGTCTTCATCCTCTCCTTGTGAGAGCTGGTGCACAACTAAACTTATTCTTTGTTAGGTCTCCTTTTATATCCTGTGATCCTGTCTTATCAACACATCCTTATCGTGTTTGGCAAGCTAGAGTATCTAGATAAGGCGGAGGAGGGGGGTCTACCCAACCTCTTAGGATGAGGTAGGGGGTGGAGGTTACACTACAATCTGAATAAGGAAACTGGGGTCAAACCCCGGCACATTAATTGTTCATTCTTGTTTGAATTTTCATAATTTATTTTCATAAATTGTTTTCCTTCTAGTTTATCTTTCCATAGTACGTCTTTCCAAAGTTTGTGTTTCTGTAGTTTGTGTTCCCATACTTTGTGTTTCTATAGTTTGTGTTCCCATACTTTGTGTTTCCAATGTTTGTGTTCCCATACTTTGTGTTTATAAAGTTTGTGTTCCCAATACTTTGTGTTTCCAGAGTTTGTGCTCCCATACTTTGTGTTTCTATAGTTTGTGTTTACATACTTTGTGTTTCCAGAGCTTGTGTTCCCATACTTTGTATTTTCTGTAGTTTGTGTTCCCATACTTTGTGTTTCTATAGTTTGTGTTCCCATACTTTGTGTTTCTGTAGTTTGTGTTCCCATACTTTGTGTTTTTATAGTTTGTGTTCCCATACTTTGTGTTTCTGTAGTTTGTGTTCCCATACTTTGTGTTTCTATAGTTTGTGTTCCCATACTTTGTGTTTCTGTAGTTTGTGTTCCCATACTTTGTGTTTCTATAGTTTGTGTTCCCATACTTTGTCTTTCTAAAGTTTGTTTTCCAAAAATTGTCTTTCCATACATTTTTCTTTCAAAGTTTGTCTTTTCAAAGTTTGTTCTCATAAAATGTCTTTCTATAGTTTGTCTTTTTACACGTTTCCTTCCATGAGGTTTTTCTTTCAAAGTTTATCTTTCCAAAGCACGTCTTTCCAAAATTAATCTTTCAAAAGTGTGTATTTTCCGGGTTTATTTTACCAAAGTATGTCTTTCACTAGTTCATCTTTCTAACATATGTCTTTACCTAGTTTATATTTCTGAAGTATGTCTTTCCCTAGTTTGTCTTTCCATGGTACGTCTTTCCAAAGTATGTCTTTCCAAAGTTTGTCTTTCCATACTTTGTCAAATTGTCATTCCATAGTTTGTCTTCCCATAGCGTATCTTTTTAATGGTTGTCCTTTCATAGTTTTTTCTTTAAAATTTTGTCCTTCCATAGTTTGTCTTTCCATAGTTTGTTATGCCAAAAGTGTGTCTTTCCATAGTTTATTATGACAAAGTTTGTTTTTCTATAGTTTGCCCTTCCATAGTATGTCCTTTCATAGTTTGTCCTTCCATAGTTTGTCCTTCCATTAAAGGTCTTTCCATAGATGGTCTTTTCATAGGTGGTTTTTACATAAGTGGTCTTTCCAAAGGTCGTCAATCCATAGTTGGTCTTTCCTTAGGTGTTCTTTCCATAGGTATAGTTTTACATAAGTGGTCTTTCCATTGGTAGTCTTGCTATTTGTGGTCTTTACAATGGTGGTATTTACGAAATGTTTTGATATAAATCTTAAAACATGAAATACCTGTTCTTCAGCTGTTTTATGTGTGTCCAAGCATTCCTCGAAGCAATTTTTACTATTTGGCTTCCTAACAGACCAGGGTAATGTTTTACTTGGTAACGTGTAACATCCAAAATAGGTGAAGCTAAAGAAACACAGAGTTAGTTTTAATTCAGTTTTCCCGCTTTTTTAATGGTTGTTTTTCTTTCCTTTTTCTAATGCTCAATTAACTCCCCCCCCCCCGTACATCCTTACATTCTAAAAAATATTCTAAATTTTTTTTTCTTCAAAAATCCACATGAGCTTTTAAATATTTTTTGCTTCACTTTCCTTATGAAAAAAGGGGAAAAACTTTGTTTTTGTTTCAATTAAAGATTGAACACAATTACATGAGTCAACAAGTTAAAATGGTAAACCATATCTTGAAATCTTTGCAGTATACTTGTTGCAAATTATTTTGTTTTATGTATATATTATATAGTTTTAACACATGTCAGTTAATAAGTAAAACTGATTCCTAATAGTTACTGACGTCTTGCCTTTCATTCCATACAATTCAAAGTTGTAATTTACAAGAGGGTTGAAGGGAGTGCGTTCTAGCCGGAGTGTTGCGTTTTTGTCAAGTAATAGACTACGGATGCAGACACTAAGTGGACATGAAATTTACACAGGCTGATCCAAAGAAAGCACAAGGAAGTAAATAGATTAGAAGGAGAATATGAGAGAAACTTTCTTACAGAGCCAGAGAACCCAGAGTTTACAAAACATGAAAGAAAAGGATAGACGTAAGAGAAAAGACAGAGGAACAAAAAATGGAAAATATTTTTTTTTGAAAAAAATGTCTGACGGAGAAAATGACAAAAGGACACAACTCAATTGTGACCGAAGTTCCATTTTTCTTTAAGCCATTAGTAACTTAACGCAAATGTTTTTAACAAAAATCATTATCGTTTATCCAAACTCAATAGTTAAGATAAGGAAAAATAGGAAGCAAGATGAGCCCGCGTAAAGCAAGTGTTCACTATGGTTTACAGGGTACACCCATAGTCAAGTATTTAAGAGAACGGAGCAACGCAAAACATTGGGGTAAACGTAAACTGGAAATAGGTTTACTGATATGTCGTTTTATTTGTATGCATGAGCTTGTGCCCACATCCCGTAATTAAAATAAATCATTAAAGTTAAAAATTCATAAAATAACAATATACTTATATTCTTGAGGTTTGGTTTCGATGTAGTTGGAATTTATACTCGTAGCGTGTTTTACGCTCATCTTAGTGCACGGAGAGTTAAGCCCATCCTACGATTTAAAATATTGTTCTATCAGGTGGTGTGTTGGTAAAATTCCTATCAATCACTGAAAATAAGCAAAAACAGTTCGACGCACCGAACATTTTAATCTGCCGATTTTTATATCAATCTGATAGAATTAGATATCACTAAGTACTTATGTAATTTAATCTAATCTAATGATTTAGTTTTCCGCTGAAAATATAACAGGTTAAGCATAACATTTTTTAAGGAATATGTGTTTAATTGATTGGATGTATATATGACTGTAGATAGGTTTGAAAAAAAAAGAAAAAAATACGTTTTTTTTAATGGGGACCAATCAAATACAAATTTTGCACTGTGCGCTTACAAATGCATGGTCAATGGTCATTGTTGTTTGCGAAAAATGAAAGGGGTATGTACTATGTATTATATATGTATTTGAAGTGGAATGGTATTGAATAATGATAAAATTGTAAAGAAAAACATTCGTCGCACACCGCGCAGAATCCAGTGAAATCAGCGGTTGGAATAAAGTAAAACAAAAGACGGACGCTAGATGTCTCTAATTAGATTTAATTTTATTCTCCGCTTTAAGTGACTATTATTTTTTACAATATCCTCGTTACTTAAAAAACAGATAAAAAAAAATTGATAACATTCGAAATTCCATATACTTCAATTACATTTTTTGCGAACACTCCCTTTAACATATGAATCATCATGTTGGTTATCATATTTAAAGGTTTAAGTTGATTTGGCTTTGTATACAGTTTTTAAAACATTATTAACATTTTTGTTAAGTCTTGTTCATTGTTTGTATATCCATCGCTACTGTTGTGACAGACTGCAGACCTGGGACCGAATCTAATTAAATTTAACTACGTCACTGAAACAACTACGGCCAATTCAAATTTGAACCACCGATTTAAAGTTAAAGATTCAGGAAGGATTTGAATCGATGATTCAAATTTGAACTGGTGGTAGGCAGTTCAGCGATCAAATTAGGTTCCTAAATTTATTTCTTTGTTTGTAAAATTCTACCTCTAGAGCGTGAGAGCAGTAAACTGAGTATAATCTATTCTCTTCCTCACCACAAGTAGCAGTTTCATATGGAGACAGATTAGGGCACCTATCAAATACAGATTATTAAAGGGAGTGTGAGACGTAATTTCAAGTAACTCCTAATTTTAAGAATGATATATTTTATTTTCATGACACTCAGTGTTCATCTTAGTTCATTGCAGATATTGCCAGAGCTGGAAACTTTTTAATGGTGGATGTCTGGGTTAATGCTTGATCCACTATTTTTCTTAATCTTGAGATTAAATAATGCTTGTTTTCCTCTTGTTATTAATCTCCAGATTAATTAACCGATCGAGATTAAGGACATCCCATTCTAAAGTTTTCAGCTCAGGTTTCATTTGTTTCATAAAACTTGGTGGACTGGACTTCTTAATACAGTTTATGCTGTACCGGTTCGGGTCATGCAATGATTGGAGCAATGTGAGTAAAAGATAAAAAAAATCTGAAAATAGAAAATTTCCAATCTTGGCTTCTCTTTAAATGTGAAATACAAGAAGTCAGAATCCATCCCTTTTCCAAATACAAAACGGACATATTTTTTTCTTATTTCTCAGGGTTCTGGTTTTCATGAAACTCTTGAAGCTAAGAGGAAATAATTTGATTCGTAGATGGAGATTAATTTGCTTGATCGATTGACAAGATGTGATCCCTTATTTATCTCCTACCTATCACATGTAGATTGGACAGGAACATATCCGTAGGACTGGTCTATTACATTATTGCCACCACAATTCGTGCTAAAAATGCATTTTTTTCTCTTAATTTTTGCATTGTTACTTTTCATATTTAGAATAATCCATTAAAAACGTTTTTCATTTTTATATTTTTTAAATCTTACATTAATTTTTTTTATGAAAAATGAAAAGGGATTCTAATTTTACTATCGCTTCTAATTTTACTCCTATAAAGAAGAAAGCAGAAAATTTACGAAGTTGAAGAATATGATTCTCGCTCAGTAGTGCTCTAATGAAGAGAGTTGAGGAGAACGGTTAATTGATCGAAAATGTCGTCTTCGTTATAGAAATTCTTGAAATTGGAATGAATTATCTAAAAACATAGACTAGAAAAAACCGCGATTATTGATGTTTTGGACAACATTTTCAAATGTTTGTTGTTAATTTAGGCATTAAAAAATAAATGTGATTTTAAAAAAATATTTTTGAAGACTGAAAAAAATTCGCGAAACCAAAAAGTCCTCAAAAATTTAGAAATGGAATTTGCAGTAAATGTTACCAAATAATAACCTTAGAACTGATATAACATAAAAAAATGCAGATAATTGGCTTACATTTTTCCGTTAAACTTTAGATAAATTTTTATGAAACTTTGGAAAACCATAGAAACAAACCTTTTTCAACAATTTTTCAAAAAATTTATTTTAAAAAAAATTGATTTCGCAGAAATTTTTTTAACGTTTCAAAAATATATTTGATTTTTTTATAAGAATTTTTTTTTATGCTCAAATCTGAACAACAATTTTGTTTGACAATTTTGTCCAAAACATCGATGATAAATATAATTGAGTGCTGCCAATAATGCAACAATTATATAATTTACTTGAACAAGAATCTCCGCTCTTTTCCTCATTACACTTACGTAGAGCCAATATCGATAGAAGTAAAATAGTAGAATTCGAATCCGATTTTAGTTTGAAATTTAGTCGAGCACTTTATTTTTTTTTTGGACCTGTTCCCCTGTAGTATTGAATAGTCCAGATTTTCGTCACAGTTCGTCACCCGCCATTGTATAACCGTCATATTTTTGTCCTTGTCCTCTGACATATTTTTAACATTAGCATTTATTTTTCAAATTTTAATTTTAGCAATCAGTATAAGATAAATTTCAATTTTTAAATATGACGCCAATCATTAAAGTTTGACTGATTAATTTCAGTTTTTATTTTTATCAAAACAATGTAAGCCGGTGTCCGAATTTAATGAATTTAAGCCGCGTCTCAAATAACCCCAAAACCGGTTTCAATTGAGCGTCGGCTTAAATCTTGAAAAATTTAATACACTTTTAAGTGGAACCAACCATATTTGAGCCGCGGTTTAAATTTAAGCCGCCGCTTAAATTCAATTTAATTCAGCCTCAGGAAAATCAAATTTTTTCTATGTTTCATTTTTCACTAGCACAAGCACGCGTAACGCATTATTAAAGGATAAATCAACAGCATTAATTCTGCTTAATTTTTTGTTAACTAAAAAGCGTTGGGGTTGAATGACATTCTGTATTGTTACTAATTAAAATGCCTTAAAATATTTAAGATAACATACATGAACCCAAGGAATGTTTACGGCCGGTCGGCAGTCAAAATTTAAAATAGTTGCTTCAAAATTATTTCACTTATTTTTTTCTTTTTGTGGGAAGGTTGATCCGCCGATGATAACAGTAAAATCTTCGAAATGCTAAGTTTTCATCATCTCAAAATGTATGAACACGGAATGTAAAAAAGATCCGCCGAAAAAAAGCTAATATTTAAGTTCTTACTTATTTCTTCGAGGTTGTCAGTCTTGATATATGATTCGCTTAAACATTTTGGGAAAAAATTTTCTTCATACTGGAATGTATCATGCTCCGTGATCTTATAGCTGATTGCCTTGTCCATGTTTACACACCAGTTCTAGAAAATTAACATTTAATTCAAAATTCGGTGTTTCATAATAATTTTTAAACTTTGATATTTTCCCAAGTAACGATCGATTTCCCAATAGGGACCGAGCGGTGTGGCTAGGAAAGACTTGGGAAATTGCACATTTGGGAAGTTGCCACTTGGGAAAGTACCTTTGGGAAAGAACCTCACATAATATATACGTCTTAATTGTCTGATTTTGTTTGTTTGATTCAAAGCGGCGGAACCGAAAGAGCCTAGACAAAGCTAAAACCAAAAACTGAAAAAGGGCTGCGAAGCGCTCTTCAATTCTACTATCCCAAAAAAAGTCCAATGATTTATATTATTATACTAGATTAATAACAAAATACCTGCGTTGAGTTAACCTTGCAACTGAAAATAAAAATATATTAATTTTTTGAAAATTTTCAACAAAAAATGCTTTTTGTAAAAGGCTTGTCAGCGTAATTCAAATGACCCTTTGAAGATAAATGCCATTGACGATTCACAAACCATGAACCCGTTAAACTTGTATCTAGCAAATAACAATGTTGATTTTTACTTTTTCTGGAAATCTACATTTTTTAAAATAAGATTTACAGAGTTACCCAAAAAGGACCTGACTTCAGAGACGACAGTTCAGAATTTGTACTCTATGTGTCCTTATATTTCTGATTTCCAGCAACTCTTGTTATCTTGTTTCTCTCTTTGCTGAATCATTAAATTAGCCATAAACAGATTATGTTTAAGACAGAAAACCTTGGAAACGTCAGATTTAAAGAGTTTTGCGTCGTCTTGACAGTCTCATCCTTTGGGGGTAACCATGTAGGTTTAAACAGTAGTCGGTGTGAATCATTTATGACATTCTTTTACCAGAAGTTACCTTTAATTCCGGGGACAGTCCCTTAAATTACCAATTACCTTAAACTGAAAGAATTGTTACACGTGATCTCATCTAAATCATCATTAAATACAGTTTCTGAATAATCAACTATACGCGCAGGAAACATTTCAGCCTCATTTCCTTTCTTCATCCGGAAACAAAAACAATGCTGCTTGTCTTCAGAGCTTTCATCACTTGAATCCTCTCCACTAATGTCATAGTATGCAGCAAATGCATCGTCCTATGTAATATAATTATATATATATATTAAGTAGTAATCTCGGTTTTTTTTGTCCATTTGGACATTCGATCATAACTCGGGAACCCATCGACCTATTTGAATCAATTTTAGATTTGGTAACTCGGTAGTACAACGGGAATGGTTTAACAATTCAAAGTTATGTGTAGGTTGAATTCTATATTGAAAAAATAATTTCCAGGCCAAGTGGGTTCCTAAGCTATAAGTATCTAGCTATATATATTATAAATACGGTATTCCTTTCTGTTTGGGTATCTGAGCTGGGAACTTTAGAATGGTGGATATCAGGCTTAATACTTGATCCTCTCTTTTTGCTAATCTCGAGATTATGTTAGTCTCGAGATTAAATATTTAGATCAACAAATTTGATCCTACAGGGTGTCCCACGAAACATGACAGTTGGTAAAGAGTTATGAAAGTCGTCTTTCATATACTTTATTAGATTTTAAAGACTTTTTGCAGTTTATTTCGTTAAATAATCTTTTTCTGAAACATATTTTACTTTGAAACCAATTTTACTAGAACATGACTCCCACGCAATATTTGTATTATTGTCTAATTGATATCAAACAACTTAACAAATTCTGGAAGAAGACATTCTAAACTATTCACCAACTGTCATGTTTCGTGGGACACCCTGTAGGAACGCCAGATTTGTTGGTTTTCTTGACTGGAAGGGCCTTCATTTAATTTCTCACACATTTATTTATTATAATACAAAATTGGTTTAAAAAGAATCTCAAACGTATTTTTAAATATTTTTCTTTGCCGATAAATTTACAAAATGGCCGACAAGAAATTCTTTATTTGTTAGAAATTGCGGATTTCTCTCATGGGATAGAATTTATTTTTCAAGGCAGTCATTGGTCAATGCAATTTATGAACTATATTCCTGCACTCTCATTGGAGAAAACAATTTAATGTACGAATATCCAAAGAGAGAGAAAAAGAGTGGATTAAGGACCAAAATTTAAAGTTTCCTCAGTGGATATTCGGATTAAGTAGTTGGGATTAAAGGTTATCCAATCTAAAGGTCCCAGCTCTGTTTTTTTTTTTGTAGATAAATCCGATCCTAATTTATCAACCTCATGACCGATTTCGATTTATCTTCAATATTGATTTGGGAACTCGTTAGAACCACGGGAATTTTTTAGTTTGAAAAATTGTTTATCTCTTCAGTCAAATCTTGATTTCCTAGCTTGTGTTATATATTATACTTAATACCTGACATTTCTGTAGGCATTCTTTCTTAGTGTGAACATCAGAAACATCTTTCAGAAACCATCTTTTAATTTTTCGAACAAATTTTTATCTGTTTATCTAACAGAATAATTGGATGATAGATATTTAGATAACGGATTAGATGGTATCGGATTATTAATTTGTAAAATCTTACATAATTCCCAGAAAAAATTCTTCTTTGCTTTTTGTTACAAAAGCAGATAAAAATAAGACGATATTATGCAATGTCTGTAAGGTACAGGGTGTCCCAAAAAACATGGGAATTCAGTGACGAATTTGATATCGTCTTTGTTATGAATTAGCATTGTAATTTCAAAAGCTATAGTATTATTATGTCTGCTAGAGTTTATTTTATGAAAAGGGTAAAATACTGTAAAGATGAACAGTGAAGACGGACAAGTTTACTCTGTTTGTATACTGCAGTTTATACAACCGCATGCAGTCATTCGTCACTGAATTCCCATGTTTATTGAGACACCCTGTACTATAAGCTCAACTTTATGCCACCCTCCTTGCAAATATGGAAATGCCCGATTTAAAACGGTATTCTTCAAACCTCTGTTTGAACAAGTATGAATTAGATATCTATGTTTGTAACTTTGAAAACTGATTTTTTTTTGAATTATTTAAATTAAACCGAGAAAAATATCAAATTACTGATCAGATAAAAGTTTAAAGTTTTCGAGGGTACCGCTGTGAATCGGCAGGAGCGTACGAGAGCATTTGTGTAGGGGGGGGGCACAATGTTTCCAAGGGGGAGGGGGCACAAAATCATGCAATCCCTCTTAATACTATGGTGTGAGCTTCAAGGGATGAAAAATATAGATAGAAAAGTTTCTAAAAAAATATCTATATTTTCATAGGATTGATACATATTGTATTGTAAATTATGATATCAAATATATATTTACACTGAAGGCAGTATTGATTAAAGCTTTTTATAATGAAACTTTTTTAGTTAAGGGCAAACGTGAGATTTTAAAGTATTTTTTTCTATACTATGTAATTATACTTTAATGGAATACATGCGTAATTTCAAGTGGCCTTCCATGTAAAGAGTGGCATGTCCGATGTACCTTTGAAACCTTCATTTCTCCATCGTTTCTGAACCAAGAAATCAAAATATATTTTATTTCTTTTCTTAATCTTTTAGTTTGGGTGAGTGCAATGAAATGCAATGTAGAATGTAGATTGCCTGAGGAAGGAAATGCAAGCAGATGTAATTTTAAAAGAGCCCCCACATGAGTGCCCCCTGCCCTCAGGGGGGCACTCGTAACGGGGGTCGGGGCGATCGCCCCCCCCCCTACGAACGCCCCTGCGAATCGGTCATTGTCATATCTGCATGGGTCACTTGCAATAACGCTTACATTTCAACATTGACTTTGATGAAAGAAAAAAACCAATGGATTAAAATTTAAAGATGCATCTCAACCTGTATTATTAGTTGTAATAATATGATACTTTGTGTGCCTAAAAATATATAGATATACAGTGAGACCTATAAGACTGTGGAATAGGAAGCCGAAATGTTAGTAACCTTATGTAAATCTAATATTCCAATTAGCTTATTCAATACAATGGATCAGTGCAGTGTACTGCTTTGTTTTATGTTTATTGAACTATTCAGAATCCCATCTTGAGTTTAAAAGACGTCTTCATTTTCATCAGTTGTATTGGTTTCATTGTGAGTAAAAGACATTGTTTTATCCCATATGAACGAAGAAATTTGTTATTTAGATTATTTACAAATAAATATTATTATATTTTTCTATACTAACCAAGCAAGAAGATGCACACCACGTTCACTAAACAAAATGTGAATTAAAACGATAGAAAATTATGAAATGCATAAACTAACATTTCTTTTTGATTTGATTTTCCATAGGTCGCTTTAGGGGATAAAGAGTATGGGTAAATTGATTTATTCAAATTCTATGTAAACTTTGATGAGGTAGGAATTAATGAATAGCAAGAATTAGCTGAACCGAAAGAAGTTGAACCGGGGTACGTGTTGCACTGAGATTTAAAGGTTTGCAAGCTCTCATGAAAAAGTTAACATGAATTTTGCCAATTACTATTCACCCCCGACTAACCAGAATTAGAGGCATTCGGTTTCTTCAATTTGAAATCATACTCGTTTTGGTTTATATTTTGACAATCTTTAAAGTTACGGATTTGTTTGTTAAATACTTTTTATTTAAAACATATATGATCGAAAGTCATAGCTTTCTGGAATATGGACAGAACCATTAAATTCACGTGTATTTTATAAATAAAAAAAGTGCTTTATAGTATTAAAATGTATGTTTAGGACTACGATAAAGCATAAGTGAGTTAAATTGGAGCAGTAAAATCAAAGCCCAACGTTTTACGACACTTCAAAGTCAACCCTGTCTTGGATATTGATGCAACATTATAAAGTAGGCTGAATCATTGTCCGACCGCGTCGCTCATCTTCCTTTCCACTTCAACACAATGTTAAGACATCATCAGCAGTGTTACGACACTTGCCAATGTTTGTTAATGTATTTTGAATGAAAAAAACACATTAAAGACAGTGAAAAAATATAAATTGTTTGATTATTTTAAAGGAAGACGATATTGGAGAGGTTAAAAACATTTATTTGCGTTTTACCCCTTAACAAATACATTTTATAATTTAAAGGGTAGAACCATTAATAATTTTATAGAATTTTAGGATTTAACATTGATTTTGATGTTTAACACTTGAATCACAATATATTTAATTCTAACTCTGTAGCAAAGGAATTGAGTTTTTTTCCAAAAACTCAGATTTTCTAATCCCGGATTTTTAGAAGACGATGTCGTAGACTTTTGATGTTTCTAACTATGAATCTCTTTGGATCAATTAGTCTAAGTCTGAAATATCAAAGATATAAGGATAAGAAAATGTGAGTTTATGGCAAAAACTCAATTCCTTTCCGCCGTCAAAGAAATTCAACCTGGCATGGGCCTTAAATCAACCCTGTGCATGTAAATTTTACCTTAAACAAACATAATCCTTGAATTCTGAATCCCCTGAACTGCAGCTGACCTGCACAGCAACAAGTAAAAAGTTAAATCTCAAAAAAGAAAATTCAGCCATTGTACACTTTTCAAAGTAGACAGTTCCCAAAATCCCATTAAAACTGAAGGTGCTAACATGATTTAATAAAGTGGGGGGGGGGGGTTAAACTGCTGGTAAAGGAACTCATTTCTTGTCTCTAATTCTTTTTTTAAAATTCCAATACAAGTTTAACCTGATTATGTATAACTTTTGATATTTCATACTAGATCTAACAGAATACACGGTTTGAAATATCAAATGTCCACATCATGTTGCAAAGATACAAAGATGAGAAAATTAGAGTTGGATGCAAGTTATTTTTTCTTATATTTGTGAGAGAAAAAAATCAACGGTTTCTCTGCTTGTAACCATCTTTGAGAAATAAATCATGTTTTTAGTTTTTTCTTGTGTTCAAGGTATGCTGCATTTATACAATTTTTAAAATATTATGCAGGAGATCTATTTAAAGCTTGAGATGTTAAGGTTTAAAGGAACTGTAGACGTAATTTGAAGAAACCCTCCAAAAAACTTTATCTGTTAAAAAATTTAGAAGATATTTCTAGCTTTAAAAAGTATTTAATTGGGATATTTTCTCCATCGTTTCTCGCAGAAGAAATGCGCAAGTCACTTTTGAAAAAAAATTTAAAATGATGAATTTTAAAAGAGACAAAGATAAATATTTTATTAATTCTTGAGTAGAACAAAGTTTTTAAGGCCGGTAATGTGGTGGTATGGTATGGTATGGTATGGTATGGTATGGTATGGTATGGTATGGTATGGTATGGTATGGTATGGTATGGTATGGTATGGTATGGTATGGTATGGTATGGTGAATGTGTTTTAGGTCGTCATTGAAGACTTATCATTTAAAGAAAACACTTTCAACAGTTTTTATCGAATAAAAGGTTTTCATGAAATCCCAATTTTAAAAAAATCGAATTTTACCATTAACAATAGACAGCTGCCAAAAAATATCAACTTGAATAGTTTAATCATTTTCTTGGTTCACTTGAGCTTGCATTTTATTGATACTGAGTACAGAGCAGGCATCCTCTTGTCTTGTCTTATCTGTCCGGACGGACGGATGAAAAAATATTGATGACACGAGGCGTAAATACAGCTTTCAGACAAATAATTCACTTAAAGTTTTTTTCTTCATTTCAGTTATCATTTTTTTCTTGCATGAATATAAACTCCAGAAACGTTATCTGTTTTTTTCCATAATTTATTTTTTTACACCTTCCATTCTGACGAGATCTTCAAAAGAGAAAGTTAGTTTGATAGTTATGTTGATTTGAATAAAAGTGCAAATATGATTGCTGGAAACATTATTTCGAGAAATTCAAGCACTAGAAAAGAAGTGCGTGTCCTACAGCTATACACCATCATACATTTTTTTGTATAGGTTTAACCAAATAGATTTCTGAAATATGTTTAAACGTTACACTTTCCAATTACAATGTTAAAGGGCTACGGAGTAAATCAGTTTCAACCCTGTTATTTAGTTAAAAGAACGTTAAATGATGAAGTGTAAAAACAGAAATGAAAGAATTTATAAAACTGCACTGATTTCACTAAAAGATTAGCACTTTAGTATTACATTATCACTTTTATTTATAGTTTTTTCAGACACAGAATTTGAGTTGACGTAAATACACCTGTACTGAAAGTTTACGCATTTTGTGTTGCCATATATTGTACTTGACAACCTATTTGGGTTTAACATCCAACCTCCTCAATTTTACACCAAGATCACGTTTAAGTTTGTAATGTATGGTTTACGAAGATATCAAACTACTTTTACAACAATAATCCTATGAACAACCATGTATCTGCGAAACAAGAGAACAAACAAAATGTGACATGAAATAAAATGAAGAAGTAAAATTAATGATTACCTTGATATAATTTTGAAATGCATGGACTTTTCTCGTTGTTGTGCTTGTCCTGACTGTTGAAATTAGGATTGAGAAAAATGTAAAATTTAGAAAGCAAAAAATCATTTTTAAGTTTTACAAAAATGACTTATGTTTGCTGGATGACTTAGGGAACCGCATATCTTTGATCTGTCACTTGTCAGTGATAAAAAGTAAAATATTTAGAAATTTATTTTACTGTTATTTGCTTTCTAGAGAATATCTTTATTTACTTTTATCTTGTATCATAGATATTAGATGAAACTAGAATAATTTATCTCCCTGAAGAATAGGCGATTTTGTATACCACAAACTTTTATACACTTCAAAATTTATTTTAGATGTTTTTTCTCTGGATTGATTGAGATCGTACATGATTGTATTTAACAGTATTTAAAAGTTATTTTTGAGATATTCGCCAACGTTAAAAGACTGTAAGGGAAATTTCAAGTGGCCCTTGATGCAAAAATGGCAATATCCCATTTACAAATGTAACCTTGAAACCTTTATCTGATCAATAAGGATACGGTGTTTTTAGTTTTAAAATTGTCTAAATATTATCTTTCCCTGGAAAAAGAAATGAGCAAGTAACTTCTAGAGAAACCACAATTGAAAATAATTTGTTTTCAAAATTATAAACATTGATACCTAATTCATGCTTTATAAAAAAAAACTGTTGTGAATCAGGCATTGCCGTCTTTGCATGAAGGGTCACTTGAAATTCAGCGTAAAGTCCTTTTACGAATTGAAAAATTAGCTGATTTCCAGCCAGGGTCCTTCGTTGAAGTTTCATTAGAATAATTTTACCTTCAAATGTTACATAATTTCTTAGAAATTTAAAAAACCAGAAGAACTAAAATTTCGCTGATTTTTCTCAATTTTGTTGAAACATTTTTGGAGTCTACTAAAAGTTTTATACGTCTTAATATTTTTGCATTCGTTTCAAGATTTAAAATGAAATTGTACGTGAAATTAAGTTTAATTTAATATTGAGAAAAATTAGATCTTTATCTTCCCATCCTCGTTATGTCAACACATGAAGGAAAAGTAAATAATAGAACATTTTTCTTTTCAGAGTTTAAAATCTTTAGACGCATGTCGGAAACATTTAAAGCCTAAAATTAGGGAAGAATGCATTTATTTAACAAAATTCAGAGAGAGAAATTTGTTGTTCCTATAACAGTAAATATTATATTCTTCAACTTAAGAATTTTTTATTTTTACATTAAATAATTTATTACTTATGGACTACCTCGGTCCAGGGGTTTCCGAGTTATGATCGGACAAACAAACAGACACCCTCCACATACCACTTAAAGTTAACTCATTTGGAACAATGAGTTAAAAATCTAATATACTAAATCAATTTAATTTCTTCCATCATTATACTTCTGAAACTATTGGCGGGTCAAGTTCCAAATGTCGTCTTTAATGAAACTTATGTTTAAACGCAGAACTATTGAAATATTGTCGATTCCTTCAAACTATGCTAATGAAAAACAAAAAATGAACTAAAGAAAGAAATGTATTAAAAAGTTTGACTTTCTTCATAATCTTTGTTTTAAAGAAAGGTGCAAAAAGTTATTGCTTAACCCCCCCCCCTCCACCCCCCACACATCCTCTCAGTCTTAAATTGTTGAAACGTTCAGTTTTTCCTGTATAAGACTAGACGAACACTTGAACAGTCTATTTTAGTGAAACATTTGTTTTGATCACGATAATATCAGAGACAGAGTACGTTTCAAATATAATTTTTTAGTGATTATTAGACCTCTACACATTGCAGAGCTTACAGGCAACAGCAATGAGAAGAAATGGAGGGGGAGGGGGGAGTACTATATTCTCCTAAAACAGATATGGAGGGGGTTTAGACCTCTACACATTGCAGAGCTTACAGGCAACAGCAATGAGAAGAAATGGAGGGGGAGGGGGGAGTACTATATTTTCCTAAAACAGATATGGAGGGGGAGGAGAATATTTTCCTAAAACAGATATGGAGGGGGAGGAGAATATTTTCCTAAAACAGATATGGAGGGGGAGGAGAATATTTTCCTAACACAGATATGGAGGGGGAGGAGAATATTTTCCTAAAACAGATATGGAGGGGAGGAGAATATTTTCCTAAAACAGATATGATTTTTTAACGTTTACCAAATCCCCTAGTCAGGCATATTAAACTGTTTGGTCACAATTTGACCAATTAAACATAAATTGTTCGTTTTTTTCTCTTTTATACTTTTTGTCTTTTTTTTTGTTTTAACTGAAATGTATAAAAATAGATCTATTGTAAGTTTAAAGATTGTTGAAATATTCACCTTGACGCCATTGAATTCAAACAAATCTCGCCCAGGTTAGTCCAAGGTATATATTCATGGTTTATTATTTCAAGATGAACACTGAACATTAAACACTGATCACGGAACATATTGAGCATGTTGGTTATCATCTTTATATACTAAGTCAGTATGTAATAATTTAGATTATAGGGACTGTAAAGGAAAAATTAAAGGGAGTATAGGATAAAACCTATACTCCCTTTCATTTTCCTTTAATTTCAGTCCCTTTAAGTTCGTTTTGATATTAAATTAATATTTTCGTGTCATCTATTTAGGTTTGTTTTTGTTCTGCATCTTTTTTTAAATAGGAACTAAACCTCAGTATAAATTCTGATTTTGTTGCTCAAATTCCACTCAAAGATTAAACGTTTCAAAAGAAAATGTCGGTTTAATGAAGCAATTCTAAAAGTTAGTTTAATCCCTATATTTTCGCAACCCCACGTAAAAAAACTTTGTTGTTTGAAACTTTAAATCTGTTAGATCAAATAGTCCAAGTTTAAAATATTAGAGGATTACACAATCAGGTTGCAAAGATATAAGGTTTATAGAAAATTCGAATATGTGGCGAGAACACAGTGGCATCACCCTGGGTCGATAAAAAAGTACAAATAATTTATATTCTTGTTAATTGTTTAAGATGTAAAGAGCCGAAAGATAAGAATTATTTCTGATAAAAAGTTTTGTATTTCTTGCAGTTATTGATATACAGGCGCACTTCCTTATAATATTTATAATATCTTTTTAAACTTTTTTAGATTTCAGCAGCGTTTTCAATTTTTTATATGTCTATCTTGGGAACCCAGCTTTGCCTGGAGAATCCAAGTTAAGAATGTCCTAGATTCTAAAGAATTACCCAACACAATTTGAAGCAAATCGGTCCAGTAGTTTCTGAGTTTTGATCGGACGTACAAACAGAAAAACAAAATTACTATACTTTATATATATTCATACATTATTAATGCCCGAAAAACAAATATTAAATACAATGTCTATACATATTCTTCTTTCTTTATTAGATAATAAAGGATTTAATTTATTGAGAAGGAATGTCGCAATTCAGAAGTATGTGAGAAATTGGGCCAGGAGAAAGTGGAACAAAAAATTGGATCTTGATTATGTAAAAACAAAAGTCCCCATATCCTTTCTTACAAAACAATATTTCAGAAAAAGTGCCAAAATGAGCCAAAGAAATGACAAAGACGATGTTCCAGAATTTATCTTAGAAAATGCGCGAAGTTCAGAACCAGTTCCTCAAACGGATCGGATCTACGCGAATAAAGTTCTAAATCTGGGAAATATAAAATGTTTTGGGTTTGATATGGACTACACTCTTTGCGAGTATATTTCTCCAGAATATGATGAACTTGCATTTAGGAATATAGAATTCTTCATCATTTATTAAAAACAATATTTATAATGATAATGATAATTGAAATACTGACAATAATTGAAATACTAATGATAATCAAAATACTGATTGTCATAATATTAAAATTATTAACAATTATAACAAAAATGAATTAAATTGTTAATAATGATATTGGTGATAATAATAATAATCATGAAAATATTATTATTATTAATAATAATAATAATAATAATATAAAGATGTATAATAATGTAAAGAAAAAGAGCTAAAACTCTCAAAAGTATTTTTCAAAGGATGAATAATATAATCATTGCTCCAGGGTGGCCAAGACCCATTTAGTAAAGATGGTCGGGTACCCGGAGGGAATCCTGAACCTGGAATACAATCCTGGATTCCCGGTCCGGGGTTTATGGTTTGATAAAGAGTTGGGAAATCTTGTTAAAGTTGATGAGCTGGGACAGATACTTGTCTGTATTCACGGATTCAGGTAAACATATATCTATACTTGTCTGTCTTCATGGATTCAGGTAAACATATATCTATACTTGTCTGTCTTCATGGATTCAGGTAAACATATATCATACTTGTCTGTATTTGATGGAGTCAGGTAAACATATATCTATACTTGTCTGCATTCACGGATTCAGGTAAACATATATCTATACTTGTCTGTATTCACGTATTCAGGTAAACATATATCTATACTTGTCTGCATTCACGGATTCAGGTAAACATATATCTATACTTGTCTGTATTCACGGATTCAGACATATATCTATACTTGTCTGTACTTACGGATTCAGGTAAACATATATCTATACTTGTCTGTATTCATGGATTCAGGTAACATATAACTATACTTGTCTGTATTCATGGATTCAGGTAAACATATATCTATACTTGTCTGCAGTGTTTCGGATCCGTATCATTTTGATGCGGATCCGGATCCGGATCCGCGGATCCGCATCCGTGATGATGGATCCGGATTCTGACTCTGATACGGATCCGGATCCGGATCTGGATCCGAGGTAACTTTTGATTCTGTGAATCGGATTTTCCCTATTAAATGTTATGCAAGGTTATAATTTATAAACTATATTTATTATATATTCCGAAATGTAACAAAAAAAATATAGACTTTTTGGAGTAATCCTTTGGACAGGCCGATCAATCACTTCCTGAAGAGATAGTCGCTGTTAGCCTTGAGCAGGAGAAGGGCGTCCAACACGTCGGCCTTGATCCGGTTCCGGATTTATTTATTTATTTATTCCATGGTTTTGGTTAATTTTTGGCACTACCCTGATCCATATCAACGTTTCCTGATACGGATCCGGATCCGGATCCGACCAAATGATACGGATCCGACCGGATCCGGATCCGGATCCGAAACGCTGCTTGTCTGTATTCATGGATTCAGGTAACATATAACTATTGTAAACATATATCTATACTTGTCTGTATTCACGGATTCAGGTAAACATATATCAATACTTGTATATATATACAGAGTGTATATAAAGGGTTCCCCACAAAGGATGAGACTATAAAGACGACCTGAAACTCTTTAAACACGACAATGTCACGGATGTATTAAGTTTTCTACCTTGATTAAAGTCTGTTATGGATCAATTAATGATTTTGCAAAGAAATAAACAAGTTTAATTTAACAGGGAATCATTGTAAGGAAACGGACATTATTGATTCCGTCGTCTCTGAGGTCTCATCCTTTGTGGGTAACCTTGCAAATAAAGTATAACTTGGTAATGTTCTTAGCTTGGTTTAGAATTCTCAGTTGAGTGGGTTGACTTTTATAGAGAGAACCCCAGGCACAGTCAGGTTCCCAAGCTAGTCATTTGTCAGTCAGAAATTTTTGAATGGAGGGATATAGTTTAATATATTAGGAGTTCAATCTATTTCTTTGAATTATGTCAACAGTTTAAGTCATTTCAACCTCAATATTTTTTACGTTAATGTTAAATGGTTTACATGCATATCAACGCGAGGAACTCCGGGCAGAGCTTTTATAGACACATTTCTTTAGTTTAAAAACAAAGAAAAACTTTTTTAAAGAAATGATAAAATGTTGGTTGAAATATTCAAGAAATACAACCCGCGTAATAAAACAAAACTGCAAAATGAGAAAAAATTTTTTTTAGAAAACTTGAGAGGGCTGAGATACGAGCTAAATATCCTCATGAAATTCAGAGAAATGACAAGGATAGAATATTTATCATGAACACTCTGTTTAACCTGGCTGAAACCCACCTGCTGGCCAGTATCATCGACTTCATAGACAGGTAAATAGACATGTGTATTCAGGGCTTATAAAGTACCCAATTCCCGGTATTTTTTTTCACAGCAAACAGGAATTCTGAGATTTTACATGCTGAGGGATGTAAAGGAGTTGAGTTTTTGCCACAAACTCTGATTTTCTAATCTCTATATCTTTGTAACCCAATATCGTAGACCTTAGCTATTTCAAACTATTAATACTTACAGATAATCTTAGTTTGAAATATCAAAGATTTGCACCATAAGGTTGCAAAGCTATTGGAATGAGAAGATTTCAGTTTGTGGCAAAAACTCAATTCCTTTACATTCAAATAAATTAGAACCAATGGAAATTTATACCTCTGATGGCGTAGTCTAAGTAAAATATAAGCGATCGATATCGATTTCAATTCGGGATCAGCCAACACCCCAATTCATTTTTCGCAAACACTCCCTTTAACATGAATCTGCCTAAAAAGGTTTCTACATTAGCGGTATTTATAAAGGAATTACAATTTTATGGAAAAGTATGAAAAAAGATAAAAACTAGTATGCTATTTTAACCTCAAAGAAGCTTTGAAAATTACTTGCTTCAACATGGCGCCTCGGTTATTCTCAAATGCAGCAGATAAAAACGTTCAAAATTAATGCCTTCTGAGCTGGAAACCCTTTTAATACGGATCTTTTTTTAATCTGCAGGTTACTTTAATCTTTATTCGATATCCCGCATGGTAATATTACCCCTGCATGGATATCATAAATAAAGAGACTCGAAAGCTTAGAGTCTCAAATCAAAAGTGCTTACAGTGGATATCGAGACCAAACGATCGGGCCGGATCATGAGTATCCATGGCACAGAAGTTTCCAACTCTGATTGAATATTACTTATTTCGTATTTAGTGAGGAGAACATTGTTCACACTGAGAATGGGTGGATTCTGTCAGGGGGAAAAGGAAAGAAAACCTTAACCTTTAAAGCCTTATTCCAGGTAGGGATATTTTCTTTAAAGGGATTATTCACGTTTATAAAAAAAATCAGAATGCATCAACATTTCATTGCAATTTGCAATGAAGTAGGTTATATTTAAGCTACAATAAGAGGCCCTTTGGTTAAATTGTTTTTTCACACGAAAACAACACTCAGTTATAAAATATCATAAAAAATTTTGTTTTTGTTAAATAAATTAATCAGAAATTGAGTCATTAAGTCTAATTTTCTAATCCTTATTTCTTGGCAACCAGATGGTTAAAACCTGTTAAATTTCAAACTTGAAATTATTTGATCTTACACAATTTATAGTTTGAAACATCTAAGGTCTACACTATTGGATTGCAAAAATATAGAGATTAATCTACGTTTGTTGCAAAGACTTAATTCCTTTTTGTTTAACTATAATTTCCATTTTCAGGATTGTAGAGAGACGATTGATTATGTTCACATGGATTCTATGGAACTCAAGAAACTGACAGTTGCAGATTTGCCCCGCTATGTGAAGAAGAACAGCTGTTTGCTGCGCATGCTTAGAAATATCAAAGATGGCGGGAAGAAATCATTTTTATTAACCAACAGTGATTGGTGGTACACGCAGATTATAATGAAATATCTGTTAAATGATGAAAACTCAGATGAAGGTTAGTTTTTCTTGGGTGGAAACTCTTGTATCATGGGACAGTGGATATAGAGATCAAAGCTTAAACTTTTGTAAATCTGCAGATTAGTTAAATCTTTTATTCGAATTCCCGCATGGTAATCGTACATGCAGTCAGGGGTTTAAGGAAAGCAAATTGCGGGAGGAATAACTGAAATAAAGAGATTAAACATTGAGCCTCAAATTAAAAGTGCCCACACAGTGGATATCGAGATCAAGTATCAAGATCAAGTATCGAGATCAAGTTTCGACTGTTCTCACATTGGTCTAATATTGATAATTACGATCTTTTTTAAATAATGGGATTTTCGATAATAAGTTTTCTATTTTCAGATGAATGGATGTCTTGGTTTGATCTAGTTATCGTTGATGGTCAGAAACCTCGGTTCTTTAGCTCTGGAACTCCTCTTCTTAGAGTGGATAAAAAGGTGGTTAGTATTGGGGTATTAAAGTGAGAATTAGACAACTGGGGAATTGAAAGACGACATTAAAGCATTACTTAGGCGTAATTCATGTTTTTTTTCAATGCAAATAGATTTAACTTTTAAAATCAGTTGTTTCTCAGTTGTTACTGTTAGTGAAATGTGTCGTATTACAATATCTATGTCTCATCATAGTTTCAGTAGAAGTAAATATTTCCATTTACTGATAACGCTGATTGAAGGATTCATAAATCTGATTAGATAATGAAATAGATAGAAAGATAGATGTTACCGCCATACTATTTCTATATTGGTTCAGAATAGACAAGAAACACATGACTGAACCCTGATTGGATCAGGCGCTAATGGACTCGGCATACACGAGTGGTTTCATGTGTTCATTGGACTTTTTTATGTCATAACTGAAGCTTAAAAGTCGTCTTCCTATTTTAGAGTTTTTAAATTCTTACTGTAGAGTTAGGAAACTTTGGTTAAATAAAACACTTGTGAAAAATCTTGCCTTGAAACAAATTGACCACAATATCTTTACAATCTGATGGTAAAAAATATGGTATTTTAAATATTGACCATTTGATTTTATATTAAAAATGAGAGGTCTGGAAACATATCAAATGTTTGCACCATCTGATTACAAATATCAGGTTGGGATTAGAAAATAAGAGTTTGTGGCAAAAGCTAAATTCATAAATTTTATCTTGTGAAAGTATCAAGTATTGCTGATTACAGACCCTGGAGAAGATTCCAGTAGATTCCGTTGCATTAGACTCTAATCCAGGAGGGTTGGTTTACTCGGGAGGAGATCATACAACTTTTACAAACATGCTGGGTGAGAAATATTGATTCACTTTTTTATACTTTAAAAAGACAAATATATGTGTTTTTAAATAGTTAGCATTTTCAGAATATTGTTGTGTATTTTTGAACCAAATTAACAATTTAATAGTCCAATATTATATATAAAGATTTTAATAACATTAGAATGGAAATACCAAACTGATATTTTTAGGAAAATTAGGATAAAATAAATATTATAAATGTGTTTTTGAATCATATCATTTATTTTAGTTGTCTATTTAATGTTATATATGGATTGTGGAAAAAAAATTTTAAGAAAAAAATCTTTCAAATTAATCCAGGATGCTATAAATAATATAAAACATCCCGCCTCAAATCTCGACCATGGTGCATAAATTGTCATTATTAGTGCTGAGTACTGTTCTCTCTAGCTTTTAAGAAACTTAACAACATTTTAAGAAAAGTTGTATGCTCTTAAAGTTTGCTTTTATTACACTGTTGAAAACTTCGACCGAAGATATAAGCCAGAATTTGTTTTCAAATCTTTTTGATAACGAACGTTTGGTTTTGCTTTGTTAAGGTTTTTATCCTTTAGAATTAATATTTTGCATAATTTTATCATATGAAACTTGTAGTGCATACAACCTTAAGAATGTTGAGTCCTTGGATATTTTGTGTAGTCACCTTAAAGCCAAAAAAATAATGTTTAAAAACTGATCAAAACATTTATACCAATTTAGTCACACATAGATCCAGACTGCTATGAGCAGTTTCAAAAGTTTCAAGACTGAGTTGACTTTAAAGTGTCGCAATGCCTTGGACTTTGATTTACCTTACTCACTTTCTTATGCTTTTTTAAACCCTAATTCACATTAATATCCCCTGATTCATTTGGCGTCCTATCCCGTTTTACCGTCTTAAGTCTGTATGTATACTTTAACAACTTGTACATATATGTCTATAGCTGTTTTATACGAATTGATACATTACTTCAAATGAACCAGAGTTTTAGCGCTAGTTTTTAATAAGTAAGAAGTAAGGAGTACTTGAACTTGAAATAATCTACATCCAAAGAGAACTTGAACCTGAAATAATCTATTTTATCTTAGGAGTACTTGAACCTGAAATAATCTACTGTGGAGACCACCTCTATGCCGATGTTGTCAAATGCAGGTTAAAAATTTTAAATTAAAAATACTGTTTTCATCCAAATATTTACGCACAGTGAGAACCAGAAAACTCTAGAATATAAAAATGACGTAAAGACTCTTGTTATGACTTTAAATAGTGCAATAAACATGGTATATAGTAACGGAGCAGTATAAACAGACCAATTGAATTAATAAGTTATTTATAGTAAACATATTTGTTTTGTAACAACATCCAATACACTTAATTATTACTTTAATGTCTTCTTCCTATTCCACAGTTTATTGGTTTAAACTGTACAAATTTACGAACTAGGTCAGCTAGCTAGCTATAAGGTCAGTAGCAGGGGTAACGGCATGTTCAACAGCGAGTTTTATGACCGTCAATTGTTGCATATAATACCCTTTCAGAAGTTAAATTTCACAAATGTTCTAACTTTAAACATGAAACATAAAAATTATGGAGCTAATCTATTTTTGAAAATTTTGTATTTCAAATCGAATGGATCCTTAAATATCCCTAGATATATACGTGAGCTAATTGATCGTGTACTCAAGTTGACAATAGAAGGCACTGTAGAAAAAAATCGCATATTCTAGCCATCAATAGATTTCTGTCTTTCTTATGTCTGGTAAGTTGTACGATTCAACCCTTAAAGCCGGCCAAACAGCTGAACTATTTTTAGAAAACTCATGGTTGCTCTATTTTTTTTTTAAAATTCGAAAATCGAGATTTAAACATTTTTTCTTTACCCCAAAGTGTTTTTAAAATTCCACGGGCAACACGAGCTCTTCCGTAAGTATATATAATAAAGCTTTTCGCTCATCAATATATATCGATAAGTTAGCTATACCTGGCCAAACAGCTTGACCAAATTAGCTAATTTCTTTTTTAATTCAAAATTTTTCAAACGCGTTATTCTTTAACATCCTCTGGCAACGCGCGCCGCCGCCGTGCACTTTAATCCATAAGTACAAAGTATTAATCTTTCTGTGTCTGTTTGTTTTTGTTTGTATGTCCGATCATAACTCAGGAACCCCTTGGCCGATTAGAAAAAAGCAAAAAAAATTGTTTTCAGGAAGGAATGCGACTGGAGAACTCTTCTTGTAGTCCCGGAGTTAGTGTATGAGGTAATACAACTAATGTTTGTAAATATAATTTTGTATTTTTTATACTAAAAATTGTTCAAAAAGTTAGTTTAAGTTATACTTGATATTTTAAAAATAAATATAAATTTTACAAGTTTAGCAGGGAAATTCATTTTTGATTTTAAAACATCTTGCATGAGGATGAAACTGACATTTAAAATAGGATGAATTGTTAATTTTATTTTTTAATGTTTTATTAAATCTAAAAAAAATTTTAGGGGTTAAATTATACATTGTGTTCCGACCAAGGAATCAAAACTGCAGTCCAGACAGTAAATTATTTCTTCATCTAGGGGACAGTAATTCAGAATGAAAGAAATATCTTGAAAGAGCTTCATCATCTTGAATCCATCCTTAAAGAAGATGTTCCGGAGGAAAATGTTTATTTACAAAAATCTAAATTTTCATTGGGACCCAAAAAGTTGTCTTTCAGTATTGGTAAGCCAATAACACAGATAAAGAAAATAGGCTTAATAGTTTCAATTGGAAAGTCCATTTCATTTGAATTTAAAATCTTTAATACTTTAAAATACAACTTGTTCTTTTGTAGAGATTTTAATAAGGATAATATTGTTTTAAATCCTTATGTGCATTCAAAAAAGTTTCTTTTTACTCTAAAAAAAGAAAGCTTGAGAAGGTCTGAGGTCCCAAAGTCCTACCAATAAATCAGCAAACATTGAGATTTAACTTAATACAGTGTGTACACACAGCATTTAAAGGGACTGTAAACGTATTTTTAAGTAAACCTCCATTTAAAGAGGTCATGTCCGAAAAATTTCTTTCGGCCGGTGATGTCTTCGGATTTTTGTTTCATACAGAAATCACGATTGAAAACATGTAATTTACCTTATTTTATGGATATCTCATTCATCGATCAGAAAAAAATATTTATGGTTTAAGGCCCACATGTCACTTCATCGTTGAACATTCTTAAATTTTTAAGTTCAACATTATATTTGAATAAATAAAATAAACGTTATATGCAGCTGGAGGATGTAAGGATAAAGGTTTCTGATTGTATTCAACGCTTTGACACAGCTTTTAGCGAATCCGGTTCCCTTTTTAGGTATCTATTTATCTATTTATCTAATTATCTATTTATCTATTTATTTATTTTTCTATTTATCTATTTATCTATTTATCTATTTATCTATTTATCTTTTTATCTATTTATTATTTATCTATTTATCTATTTATCTATTTATCTATTAATCTATTTATCTATTTATCTATTTATCTATTTATCTATTGATCTATTTATCTATTTATCTTTTTTATCTATTTATCTATTTATCTATTCATCTACTCTTCTATTCATATATTTATCTATAACTATAAAGGTAGATACACCACATTTTGATGTGAGTTTTGTCATTATTTATTTTAATCATCATGTTTCTTGGAACCCTGTAGTTAAACTCATTTTAATCTTGCCAAAAGAAAATCATTTTACAGGTGTATCATGTAAAAATTTAACTATATATAAGCACCTCAACTCATCGGTTTAGACATCGGCAGTTGCAAAATTTTTGTGAAATTGTAAAAGTAAAAAGAATGAACGAAGACTAAGATGATTGATTTGATATTGTTAGGTCTGGGAGTTGATTGATTTTAAATTGTTAGGTCTGGGAGTAGATTGATTTTATATTGTAAGGTCTGGGAGTAGATTGATTTTAAATGGTTAGGTCTGGGAGTAGATTGATTTTATATGGTTAGGTCTGCGAGTAGATTGATTTTATATTATTAGGTCTGGGAGTAGATTGATTTTATATTGTTAGGTCTGGGAGTAGATTGATTTTATATTATTAGGTCTGGGAGTAGATTAACCTACTTTGGATTCCAGATGTTAGCCTGGGCTGATTTATATACAGGTAAAATATAATTACTAATAATTTTATTAATTCCTGGAAGTTGTAAAATTATTTCTGTTAAAATATATCTACAAGAGAAAGAATTCAGGTATGCTTCTATAACCCCCCTCTCCCCTCCTATATTCGTCAAAATTCTATTTTATTTTTTTCCCGAATTGCCATTCATAAAAATTTTTAATTAGTAAAATTTATTTTTCAGGAAGTGTAGCGAACCTTGGTAGGTACAGCTTAAACCAGAGATTTGTTCCTCCGCCTCTTGTCCTTCCTCATGAAATTATAGAACCAGTCCATCATATACCCTCATGAGAACCAACATCCTTCCTCATGAAACTATAGAACCAGTCCATCATAAACCCTCATGAGAACCCTGAACCTACTTCATGAAATCATGGACACAGTCCCTCCCTCATTATTTACCTGGCCTCATGATATCATGATATCATGTTATCATAGAAATAAAATTATTGAAAGAATCCTGAATTTCTTTCTCTTGATTCTCCCTGATGTATATCTATTGTCCCCTACATCCTCCTCCTCTCATCATAGAAACCGCAAGTTTATGCAAGTTTTTTCTTACATTAATTGATAGAAAAAACTTATCAAATTTCGTTGAGGAAAGTTTCTATAAGAATTGTGATTTAAATAATTTTATGTTAGGTTATTGACATTTTAAGATTGTGATAAGTTTTTATTTATTTCTCTAGATTTTGTGTTTTTCAGGATTTAAAATAATTATTATTGACGAAGTTTCAATTTTTCTTTATTGTAATATCTAATTTAATTGAAAAGCTAAACTTTATATTCCCGTAGTGCACCTCCAATTTGCCAAGACGAAATTTCGGAATTGACAATTCCTGAAAAAAATCTAATGATTATTTAATATCTTTATTGCATATAAAATAAATGCAAATTAATAATAGTCAAAAAAAGAAAAGTCTTTCGCGGGGCAAGAACAGGATACTGCGGGGATTGGGCACTGGGCAGGTTTCTGCTAACTAGCTGGGTTTGTGGGGCTCACGGCCGTATGGCCCCCTCCCCCCACCAACCCTATCTCCCCTCTCTGAAAATATAAAAAGTATAGTGGTTTCTAAAACTTAAAAGTTTAAGCCCCAGAGACAAATTTATCACGACGACCCTGAACAAAGTGAAAAATTTGAGTGCGAAAGTTCGCAGCAATATTTAAAATCAGTTTAGTGATTTGAACGCCCAAAAATCTTAATTTCGACAAAAAAAAGAAATATTCGCCCAAGAGGTGGAATCGAGCTACTGCGCCTCATGACGCCTACAGGTTTGAAGCCAGCACCCTAGACCACTAAGTTCGCCCGGACAAGATATTTTACCAAATCTTCTATTTATTTTACTGACAGTGTCGTTGAGTATTTTCACTAATTCCTTCAAAAATACGCATATTTTTTATTCTAAGCATTAAACGGTTGAAAAGATATTTTCTTACAACAGTTTTTTCCTGGGAAAAAAATAAAATTAAATTTGCAATGATCACAAAAACATCAAATTATCAGTAATTTAAAAACTCTGTTTGTCAGAGTCATCTAGCGGCCGATTCGAACAACTTACATAAACATGAAATGCAGTTTTATTCAATATCACATCATGCAGGCCTGAAGAGGGAGGGAACACCCGGACGCCATGAGCCTCTGCTATGCAGACACGCAGAAATGAGCATGCGCAATACATCAAAATGTGCCTGTATATAATACAGTCACATTTTTCTCATTTTTTTGTATCTTGCAGATTTTTTAATAATTATTTTTCTGGAATGTTTTGTCATAATTCCTTCATTTATGAATGTGCTTTGTGAAATTTTGGGATTAAAACATTTTCCATTGATTTTGGAACAAAGTTGAATTTGTCATAATTTTTCGGGATTTTTTTAAAAGCTAATATCGTTTTTTACTCACCCTATAGTAGGCTGTCTCATATATGTATATCATTATAGTATAATGTATATTGTAAATGCAATACGCATCTATATAAATTATACAATATGTAAAACATGGGGGGTGGATTTCAACAAATCAGGAGTAGGTTATAGGCTAGTTCCTAATCTAATAACTTTTTTATTAGATATTTTTTATGGAATTTCTGTTAAACGTTTAAAAACTAGAAACTAATATACTTTTGCTTTCTGTATGTGATTCTAAATCCATCAAAAACGGGGAATTACATAAATTCCGACTAAACCACTTTAATGGAAATCACAATTTTGTTTAGTCGGATTCGGAGAAAACGTTCAATTTATTTCTATCTTGACTAATCTCTAATCTCTAATCTCTAATCTCTATGCCCGGCCCATTATCGTCATTTTAAAGTTGCATATTTTTGCTAAATAGGTTTAGAAGATATTAAAATAATTGCTTCTGGTTTATACCAGTTTAAAATCAGCTCAAGACCGTACCATGGTGTAATATTGATACCAGGGCTCCGGTTCTATATTTTCCAGTCTTCATAAACAGACGGTACAGTGAGGATCAAAAAGAATAATTAGTGAATTTAATGAACCTAGAGGTGATGACAAATGATTGAAATAAGGTATTTTAGTTATAAAAAGTGCAGAATTATTTTCAATGCAATATAAGTAGAATTGAAAATTTTATAGAGCAATTTTCTATCTTAAAATAAACTAGCTGTAGTACCCGGCGTTGCCCAGGTTTATATTATTATTCATATCTGTCTATCTCTCTATCTCCCCATCTCTCTATCTATCTACCTTTTCTATCTATCTATCTATCTTAATCTATCTATCTATCTATCTATCTATCTATCTATCTAAATCTATCTATCTATCTATCTAAATCTATCTATCTATCTATCCATCTATCTGTCTGACTATCTATCTATCCATCCATCCATCTATCTATCTATCTATCTATCTATCTATCTATCTATCTATCTATCTATCTATCTATCTATCTATCTATCTATCTATCTATCTATCTATCTATCTATCAATCTATCTATCTATCTATCTATCTATCTATCTATCTATCAATCAATCTATCTATCTATATATCTATCTAGCTATCTATGTATGTCTATTTTCCTATATTTATTATTTATATATCTATTTATCTATCCATCTAGCACTTTGTGTAAATCTATTTTCTATATTTTGCTATCTGTCTATCTATCTATCTACATTTTTATCAAGCATCTAAGTTTCTATCTTCTTGTAAATGAATCAATTTAGAATCTTTGAAATTGTAAATCTATTTAATTGATTTTCATTATTTTTATAGATGAATTGGGACCTAATCTAATTTATTTGAGCTATTCGATGATTCAAATTTGAACCGGTGTTAGGCAGTTAAAGTTCATTAAATTTGGTCCTTGGTTGGATAATGATATTATGAATTAGTATTTTTATTGTCTAGTATCTGGTGTCTATTAGCTAGTATCTAGTGTTTTGTATCTAGTGTCTATTGTCTAGTGTCTAGTGTCTAGTGTCTAGTGTCTAGTGTCTAGTGTCTAGTGTCTAGAGTCTAGTGTCTAGTGTCTAGTGTCTTGTGTCTAGTATCTATATTGTCTAGTGTCTAGTGTCTAGTGTCTAGTGTCTAGTGTCTAGTGTCTAGTGTCTAGTGTCTAGTGTTAACTCCGGGAATGGAACTATTTTAACAACAATATTTCACTGAGCAATATATCATATTGACGAGAACTGAAGAAGGACATGAGAAGGACTAAACTAACTTAATTTCTATCTACAGAACTCATGTACACCACAAGTACTCAATGACATGAGAACAGCCAATGTTCACAACCGACCTAGTTAAACTATAAAATAGGAATATCTTTAAAACATCTCTGTACATTTAAATCTTTCAGGATGAAAAATGTCGTCTTATGCGCAATCTATCTTTATCTATGGAAATGTCTATCTTTAGAAAGGCTTACCTTTGAAATGTCCTATCTATAAAATGCCCTATCTTTGAAATGAACTTATCTTTCAATGAAATGTCCTGTCTATAAAAAATGTCCTGTCTGTAAATGTTCTATTTATAAAATGTCCTATCTATGATTTTGTTATCTATGAAATGTCCATAAATGTAATGTCTTTCTAAAAACGATAGATTTTCACACCTGAAAAAAAAAATCCCCCCCCCCCCCCAAAAAAAAAACTCTTTTACCATCTGTATAATCTAAAAAATCATTTATAAAATACATTCTCACTATACAGTATAATACAGGTGCATTAGATATATAGATTTCCACAACTAGTACAGAACATCACATGTTCACTGTTCAGTATTGCTAAACATTCATACCGAAAACTTATCAGAATTAATCATAGAGTAAAGAATAGATTTAAATAAGAGTTTTCTTCGAACCTGAAAAGGAGTTCAAAGTGTACAATGTACATTTCTAGTGAATGTTCCAGGAACCACTTAAAGGGAGTGTCTGGCTGAACAGTAGACAAGACAAGGTAGTTGAACTGAGGTCCAGTGCCCCGCCACAACCTGCGAGCGCCAGGAGGACTTTACAAAATCGATTTTGCGCTCTCACAATAGCAATTATACGCCGTAAAAATGTCTTATAGGTCTAAAATGTTTCTTTAAAAAAATACTCTACAATACTGCACTCTCAGCTTAACTCCCATGTCTTGCCAGACACTCCCTTTAAAGAACTGCATAGGATCACAAGGACTGCAAATAAGGAACTAATGTGAGGAGGAATGCGGGCCTTGTTATCTTCAATCATTCGATTTTTTAATTTATAAATATTACATCAATATTTTAATGTACACAGGAAAATCTCTAATATCCTTTTTCAAGATAACAGATTTTCTGTCCCAGGGCCCAAAAGGTTATCAGCACATAATGTGTGAAGTACGTTTGCAATACGATGACAGTTCAACAAAATGGCGGTTTTACACTTTTTCGGAGTAAATAGCACTAGCTCTATACATATTCTCTACTCTGTGGATTTAAGTTTTATATTTCAATCAATCAATTTCCTAATTCTTTTTTCACGCCCCTGCGCAATTCAAGTGTGCAGGTTTAATAATCTGTGATCCTTCACTTTAGACTTTTTTGAGCCATTAAATTCTATTTTGTGTTTATAAATTTTGTTGGGTTGAAAAAGTGTATCGGTCCAAGGTTAACGGTAGAAATCATTTCATTTATACTAAACTAACTCATTTAGTTGTATTATCAATGAAGATAATAATTGTTCGAAAAGTCATTAAGCATATATACAAAAACACAATTTTTTTGGTAAATTGTAAAATCAATGATTTCACTGATTTTTCTGTTCAACTTGGTGCATTTAAAAAAAAATATAAACATTTTTTCCGGCAAAATTTTTAAAATTTGACCTAGTCAATCAAGGTAATAAGGCAAGGAAAGTTAATTGCGGTTGAGTATTCTCTGCGTACATATTGAATGAAACCAGTTCTCTCTGGGCGGTATTTGTAAACAAGAATTGATGCATCAGTGCTCCTATAGTATCTAAAGAGGATAAAAGCATTTAATCTATATATAAATTTGGCTTGTCTGTCTGTTTGTTTGTATCCAATAAACGTCAAAACGGCTGAACCGATCGGGCCCAAATTTTTTGTGGGACATCNAAAAAATTTGGGCCCGATCGGTTCAGCCGTTTTGACGTTTATTGGATACAAACAAACAGACAAACAGACAGACAAGCCAAATTTATATATAGACTAGCCTTAGAGTTTATGAATGATCAAAATTTCAAATATTTGTCTCCATCAAAATTCGATCTTCATCAAATTTTTGAAAATTTTGAAAATCCACGAAATTTTTTGTGAAAATCCGCGAATTTTTTTTTGTTTTGTTTTACGATGTACACAAAGAGAACATGTTCACAATTAATTTAGAAGATGGGCGCGAAGCGCTCTATAAGGCTAGTTTTGATAATTTTGATAATATGACCAGAATATTTCATTGGTTTTTTATGTGAAAGATGGATCCCATGTCAGGCTGTGAGTTGTGACATCCGTCTTATAGCCCAGAGACAATAAACTGCAGTACACAAGATGCGTACACCTCTAAAAACTATCTTTACATTATTATTCTTTGCTGGCAATAAACCTCTACTGGGTTATTGTGAGTTGCTAGAATAATGCAGGCCCGATCGAAAAACCGGTTTGACGTTTACTGGATTCAATCAAACAGAAGGACGAACTAAGTTTATATATTATATATATATATATTATATATATATAACTTTAAGTTTCGAACGAAAAGGAATTTGAGAACTTTATAAAACGTAGAACTANCACGTGACCACTTTACTGCACTGCCATTGGTGGAATTTCTGGTCAAGTAATACGGACGTAAAAATAATATTATGAATGAAATCTATTGAAAATAGAAACAACAAATATAAAAGTAAACCTAAATTACAATTAGCTTTCTCTGGGATATCATCTTTTTCAGATTGGTTGCTGTTTTTCTGAGCATGGTCTGTTTAAACCTACTATTTCTATACGAAATTGTATATATATGCATTTTCGTACAAGTTTGAAACAGCTTTATATCAACTCTCGAGTTAGGAACTTCAGATAGGCGTCTCAAGGGTCTCGATGAAAAGCTAAAGTGATTAGCTTTCAGCCTATACCCCCTTTCATTTTTCCTTTACTGTCCCTTTAAAAGGAAAAAAAATCATCCTTTTATTTTGGAATATAATAGCCATTTTTGGGAGTTTCAAAAACATTATTTTAATTGCTAGGATATTTGTCATTTTTAGTCAAAGTAGAAGGTTTTTTGAGTACTCAAAAATTTACTAAGAATGTCTCAATGTCAATTCTGTTTAAACAAAATATTAGAAATTTTATTTTTTATTCGTCTTCATAATATCATGATGAGGCCGAGGAACAAGAAGCCTTGATTTTAAATAATGAATTTTTTCCTCAAGCTAAAGTACCATTCATTTATTTTTTATGTATATTGTATATGTAAACTGAAAAGTTTCAGACACTAAAATGTAACCACACTTGTACACTTGTTAAAAAGGTCAGTCTTTATAGAGTACATTGAAAATGTAATAAAGAAAACCATCCCCATAAAAACAAACCAAGCATTGCTTTAAAAAAAAAAAAAAAAAAAAATTTCGCCTTCGGCGCCCTTCTTTGCACCCCCCCTAGAAAAATCCTGGTTACGGGCCTGAAGATGCTGATAACATTTTCAGTATTAGAGGTTCAGTTAAGATAAGAACATTTTAAAAAAGAAAAACATAAGTTGCAAACTGTCAAGACGGGGACTTGGGGGAGATGGGCATTGAAAATTGAAGCCATCCTGGAAAATCTAAAAAGTTCCGATCCCCTGAAAAAATTCTCGTTTTTTTCAGGGGATCTGAACCTGGCCCCCCCCCCCCCCTCCCTATACCTTTCTTGTTTGTGAAGATAGGGGAATTAATATTGATATTTAAACTGAAATTAAGAACATTTTTATTCATCTAATTAAATTTAAGAAATGTAAATGTTTTTAACTCTATCATTAATGCCCTAAATGAAGACAAATTTAAATTCAAGCGGCCTGTAAAGTTTTTAAGAGATAGTGAGGACATACTTTTTGTCATTAATAACAAGAAATTCAGTAGAAGATAACTAGAGAAATAATAGAATAGAGGGGAATTCTTTATAAGCTGTACTTTTCAATGCCATTGTCAAGAAACTTATTTTAATAAATTCATCTCCCCCCCTTTTTCCACGGAGGTGTTGGATGTTTAGTAGTATGAAGTGATAATCAAATCAAGAAGATAAAAATGTTTAGGAATTGATCAGTTTGTGATTTATCCTCAAACATTTGATAACTTCATATTGTATGAAATTGGTTTAATTTATAGAATTTTATCATTGAGACAACAAATTGCTCTTGTATTCATATGTTTAGTTTTTACACAAAGGAATTGAGTTTTTGTTACAAACTGAAATTTTTAAATCCCTATATCTTTGGAACCTGATGGAGTAAACCTTTGATATTTCAAACTTAGATTATTTAATATAACAGTATACTTAGATTGAGATATATTGGGTCTAAGACATTGGGTTCCAAAGATATAGGGATTGGAAAATCAGAATTTGTGGCAATGACTCAATTCCTTTGTTGTGTAATTTATTTTTCATAAATCGAAGCCGATTTATTAACATTTTTTATTTAAAGCTGTTTTTATGCCTACATTTCAAAGATATTAGGTAATTTTAAAACTTTTAAATTGTTCTATGACGAAAAATCCCTTGGGGGTTGAAACTTCTACCAATTTTAATTGTTCTGAGAGTAGAATAAATAACCAACCATACATAGGATACATCAAGGTGCCAATGCAAGGAAAGTTAGTTGTGGTCGCGTATACTCTGCGTAACCAGTTCTCTCTGGGAGGAGTTTGTAAACAAGAATAGATGCATCAGTGTTCGTTAAGTATCCAAGGAGGTTAAAAGCATTTAATTTTGATAATTTTGAAAAATCACATAATAGTTTCCTATGACCAGAATATTTCATAGAATATTTTTGTGAAAATGGATTCCATGTCAGACTATGACATCCGTCTAGTGTTTACTTTTCCGTCCAAAGACAGTACACTACAGTACAAAAAATTCGCACACCTCTGAAATAACTTTCCTTTCATTAGTACCTTGGGATACATAGAAAACTGTTCACGATATAGTTTACACTGTACACTGTACAATATTCGATGTTACAGTGTACATAAATAATAATATACCGCACAAATGTACTTTAAATAGATACGTCAAAGTAATTGTTATTGATTTTTATCCAAATTCTCAATTATAGACATCTAAATTCTACACGTAATGTATATTCAGTATGGCTGAATATGCATATTTTAATTTTAGTAAAGCTCTTTGCATAAAAATTTATATTTGTTTTATATTAATTTATATTTGTGAAAAGGCTGATCTTTTTTAAAGGAACCCATGGGGTGATGTAGTCTTAACAACAATTATATTTTTTCAATTTAATTTCTAAGTGTTTTTAAAACCTACGCAAGGCCGGGTATACAGCTACTTTTCATTGTATTCCATTCCTAGGGGGTGCTTTTAGTTCTCAAACCTTTAACCTGTTTTTTTCAGAAATGTGAAGATGGCAGGAATATTTCTATATATTCTACTCCTGCTGGTTTCCACAGCAAAGGTTAACTTTTTCAAATATATTAATTTTGAAGATTGATTTCTATTTGGAGAGACAGTCGACATAATTTATAGCTAGACTAGATATAGCAAATAGATTATCAAGTATAATAGGTTAAATTTACAGCTATAGACTAAATATAGCAAATAGATTATCAAGTATAATAGGCTAAATATATAGCTATACTAGATATAGCAAATAGATTATCAAGTATAATAGGTTAAATTAATAGCTAGACTGGATATAATAAATAGATTATCAAGTATTACAAGTTAAATTTATAGCTAGACTAGATATACCAAATAGATTATCAAGAATAATAGGTTAAATTTATAGCTGGTCTAGATATAGCAAATAGATTATCAAGTATAATAGATTAAATTTATATCTGGACTAGATATAGCAAATAGATAATCAAGTATAATAGACTAAATTTATAACTAGACTAGATATAGCAAATAGATTATCAAGTAAAATGGGTGGCAACAGAGAAATGAACAAATTATATTTGACGTAACAAGTGTCAATAATAACAAGGAAAACAACATTTTCTCCCATTACTGATAATGTTTTCCAAGATTAAATAAAAAAGATTAAAAACAGAAAATAAAAACACGAAATTGCAATTATTTTACTGTAAGATAAGCACTTTATTTTCACTATTATTAAACATGTTGTCGGACACACAAAACTGTTGACACTTGTGACGTAAGAATTTATCTGTTCTGATAGCGTACAAATTCTACATTACCATCAATTTACTTGATAATCTATCTGCACTCTGCAGTATTGGAAAAATATAAGTTCTCTTTGTAGAATCTTTTTTAAATGCTTAAATCCACTTTTCTGAAGAACAACGCTTGAACAGAAGTAAAACTAGGATATGTAATAATTCTTAAATTGAAACTCTGTACGTCGATAGTTCCATCAGACTGTTTTTTTTAAAATACATCCTCGATATAATTTTTTTATGAATGAATAGTTATTGTTTTTTTTTTATAAAAGAGAACGTAAGCGTGCATGGAAGTGACCCAAGCTATTCAAGAATTGTATTGTCTGATTCACAACGGTTTTCGTTTTTTTTTAGGTTTAAAAATGTTTAATTTTGATCATTCCTATATATGTTCCTGCAGTAGAAATGCGCAAATCACCTTTTTAGAGAAACCTCAATTGAAAATAACTAGTTTTAAAGATTATAAACATTGATTTCTAATCATACTTGAGAAGACAAAGCTTTTAAGGTACCGTTGAAGTTTCGTTTACGGTCCCAAATTGATATTTTTATATTTCAGGGCAATGTTCTCGATGAAGTAAACGCGAAAACAGATGAATATAAAGAGGCACAGAGTTTTAAACAGCAGTTCTTTTCTTTTAACTTTTATTACTTTTTTCATTTTCATTGTACTTCAATCTTTAACCATACAAAATATGAGGCATTTGCCATTTTCTGTTGTGCGCGCATGCCCCGTAAAATTCCAAAACAGAGAGAGGGGCATTGAATTTTGTAGAATAATATCTGTGGGATGCCTGCGTAGAGACTAGCAGCTGGTGGGGTCGTAAATGTAAGGCATCTGGCCGCAGCGCTCGGCTCCCTAGCATGTCCTGCGCTCAACCCCAAAAAGTGTCATAACTTAACCTAACCCGTGGCCTGTCCTAGCCGCAGCGCTCGGCCCAGAAAGTGTCTTAACCTAACCTAACCCTGTATAAATAGTAATTTAATTATTTTTCTGGATCTACAAAATTCAATCCCCCTCTCTCTGTTTTGGAATTTTACGGGCATATGCGCACAACAGAAAATGGCAAATTTTACAAACATGAAATAAAATAAAATTAATAAAACTCTCTGTGCAGAAAATCCATGTTGTAGACAGTTTAGACCTACTTATCTACCTACTACTCCTAACTGTAGGAAAATAATGCAATCAGTATTTTAAAACAAATGTTTTTATTAAAAAAAAAACTTTTAACTGGGAGTAACGATAAATAAACATATTTGGTATTAAAAGTCATGGAGAATAAAACTAACCCTGTTATTTAGGCTAAACCCATGATGATTGGTTACTTTGGAAATTTTTTAACAGTGATTTTGGCGTAGATTGATTAAAATATTGGATCTGATTATATTATTGTATTTTCCAGCTATAATTACTACCTGGGTGTTTAAGAAGCATCGTCTTAAGTTTATCCATGAGTCGGGAGTATCTGTTATTCTTGGTCTTGTGGTCGGAGCTATACTTAGGTTTACAGGATCCACTAACAGGTATAGCTGGTGTATCTATTCTTAGGTTTACAGGATCCACTGACAGGTATAGCTGGAGTATCTGTTCTTAGGTTTACAGGATCCACTAACAGGTATAGTTGGAGTATCTGTTCTTAGATTTACAGGATCCACTAACAGGTATAGTTGGAGTATCTGTTATACTTAGGTTTACAGGATCCACTAACAGGTATAGTTGGAGTATCTGTTCTTAGGTTTACAGGATCCACTAACAGGTATAGTTGGAGTATCTAATATACTTAGGTTTACAGGATCCACTAACAGGTACAGTTGGAGTATCTGTTCTTAGGTTTACAGGATCCACTAACAGGTATAGTTGGAGTATCTGTTATTCTTAGGTTTATAGGATCCACTAACAGGTATAGTTGGAGTATCTGATATTCTTAGGTTTACAGGATCCACTAACAGGTATAATTGGAGTATCTGTTATTCTTAGTTTTACAGGATCCACTAACAGGTATACCTGGAGTATCTATTCTTAGGTTTACAGGATCCACTAACAGGTATAGTTGGAGTATCTGTTATTCTTAGGTTTATAGGATCCACTAACAGGTATAGCTGGAGTATCTGTTCTTAGGTTTACAGGATCCACTAACAGGTATAGTTGGAGTATCTGATATTCTTAGGTTTACAGGATCCACTAACAGGTATAGGTGGAGTATCTGATATTCTTAGGTTTACAGGATCCACTAACAGGTATAATTGGAGTATCTGTTATTCTTAGTTTTACAGGATCCACTAACAGGTATACCTGGAGTATCTATTCTTAGGTTTACAGGATCCACTAACAGGTATAGTTGGAGTATCTATTCTTAGGTTTACAGGATCCACTAACAGGTATAGCTGGAGTATCTGTTCTTAAGTTTACAGGATCCACTAACAGGTATAGCTGGAGTATCTGTTCTTAGGTTTACAGGATTCACTAACAGGTATAGCTGGAGTATCTGTTCTTAGGTTTACAGGATCCACTAACAGGTATAGGTGGAGTATCTGTTATTCTAAGGTTTACAGGATCTACTTAAAGGTTTAGCTAGATGGTACATGTTTTAATGATTTCAACCCACTTTGACATATTTTTAGATTTTGCAGAAAACCCCAAAGTTTCACGTTTTTCATGATAGTTTTTCATTAAAAAAGGTTAATTCAGTGTTCCATATTCAGCTTTCGCTTAGTTTAAGCTATTTGTTGGCAAGGTAGATGAATAGCTTTATCTTTAAAAAAGTGTACTGCAGTTCTTGGGATGAATGTACGTTAACAAACTTAGTTATTACATGGGCAGAGTCTTGTTTATATTCCTCTCAAAATCTTCAATTCAAGGGAATTAACTGTATACTTGCCTCTATAGGATATACTTGGAATATAATACTCTAAATTGGATACTCCATTGATAATAATATTCCTCTCAAAATCTTCAGTTCAAAGGAATTAACTGTATACTTGCCTCTATAGGATATACTTGGAATATAATACTCTACATTGGATACTCCATTGATAATAATATTCCTCTCAAAAACTTCAAATTATCTGTTTTCAAACAAATATTGATTGTTTGAGTAATTGAAAGGAAGACGAAGTTTGAAGGAAAATAAATTTTTGTATGTTTTCCCCCTTCAATAATACATTTACAACTTAAAATGTGCACTTATTTATGTAAACTAATAATTTCAAATGTTTTAACATTGTTTTTTATGTTTAAAAAGTGAGCTGAGTTGATGATAACTTTAAGGGGAGGTGAATTGTCGCAAAGGAGTCGATCTGATACAGGACACCGGCTGTTTTTTTTAAATCACGAGTACTCTGCAAGTTTTATCGCATAATATAAAAGTTTAGGGTTTCATTCAAAGATTTAATAGTTATTCTACAAAAGCTGAAAACTTTAGAATTGTGGATATCGAGATCAATGCTTGATCTCTTCTTTTTATTAATCTTATGCTAAAATCCAGGATATTGTCTAAACTGCAACCAATCAGAGTGTTTATTGTACAAACCAAACATCCAATCAGAAGCCAAGAAAAATCAAAATTTTGGCGCGTTATCAACGAGAGAGCTCTCATTGGTCCGAAAAAAAGCAGGGAAAAGAGAGTATTAAGTAGAAAATCGCAGTTACATAGATTTAGTAATCGTGATATCCAATACACGAGTTTTCGGCTCTTAAGTGAATTTATTTTCTTGGAAATTGTGGGAAAATTGTAGAAGTTATCTTAATCAATGAATCAATTTATTTCAGTATAACTGTTCTTGATGTTGCTCCTAAACCATCTTTCTCCGCTGGAAACGGAAGCTATATCTTCTCCCCTCCGGATATACTGAGGATGAATATTAGGAACATAAATCAATTCATTTATTCTTTTATCATGAAATTTGTTAACATTTTAAAATTTGTTAGTATTCATTTGCTTTTGGTTTTTCTGGATTTTGGGTTGTACTATAGCTATAAACCAGATTGTTATGTACAGTAGCTATAAACTTGTTTGAATTGTTATGTACAGTAGCTATAAACTTGATTGAATTGTTATATACTGTAGCTATAAACTTGTTTGAATTGTTATGTACAGTAGCTATAAATTTGTTTGAATTGTTATATACTGTAGCTATAAACTTGTTTGAATTGTTATATACTGTAGCTATAAACTTGTTTGAATTGTTATGTAATGTTGCTATAAACTGTTTTGAATTGTTATGTAATGTTGCTATAAACAAGTTTGAATTAAGTACTGTAGCTATAAGCTTGTAGGACTATTATATCTGCATCTTACTTGTTTGAATTGTTATGCACTGTAGCTATAAACCAGTTTAAATGGTTAGGTACTGTTGCTATAAGCTAGTTTGAATTGTTATGCACTGTAACTATAAACCGGTTTGAATTGTTATGTACTGTAGCTAGCAACTTGTTCGGATTTTTTTGTACGTAGCCTGATACCGGGTTTAATTGTTATGTATTGTATAATTTAACCGGATTGAATTGTTATGTACTGTAGTGGACAAGTGTTTATCTACTCTATGTCTGGACCTCAGGCTGATGTTGAAGCATCTCAGGAGATAACAGAAATACAGGTGCAGTACATTGTACACTTTACAGTATATAAAGTGTACAGTGTTCAGTTCATGAATTTCTGGATTGCCGATAAATTATAAATATGAATGTTCTTAAGGTATTTTTTTTTATTTCAAAAATAAACATTTGTTTTGTCGTTTTTTTTCTACATTCCATAAAACAGTTACAGGATTTACAAAAAGGAGATCTGTTTGCTCCTCAAAAATAAAGAAATAATTTGTTGTTTCATTCGTCCAAATTTTCACTTAATAACAGAAAAATATATTTAAGAAAGATTTATTGAGAAATAAACGATACATGAGTAAGATGATTAAATATCTTGGAGTAATCGGATTTCACATTTTACGATAAATAATTCTTGAAAAATAAAAATCTTTTTACCTTTTGATCTGTTTGATTTTTTTTCTTTTATCAATCTGAGCTTGACATTTTTAAATCGACGAATTGAGCTAAACCTCGTTGAAGGGTTCATAAATTCTGATCAGACAAGGATTAAAAAAAATAAAACCAAAAACAGATATAACTACTTTAAAATGTGTTAGTTATACAGAAGACAGTAAAAATATTAACCTGCTTCTTTCTGTAACCTAACAATTTTGTAAACTTGGCAATTTGGTAAATCTAAACATTTGGTAATACTGAAAATTTTGTAAAATTGACAATTTTGGTAATTCTGACATTTTGGTATTCCAAAAAAATTGGTAAACTTGACAATTTGTGCAGGAAAAGGCGACCTTTGATGCTGAAATATTCTTCTACATGATCCTGCCTCCAATAATATTCAATGCTGGATACTCAATGAGGAAAAAACATTTTTTTTCAAACATTGGCTCAATTCTAACCTTTGCCCTGCTAGGTAACAATGAAAATTAGGTTCGTTAGCAATTCGGTGAGAATAAAAAGCAATTCCAAATTCCAAGCATGGGGTTTACGTTCCCTAGTTTTCAGGAAATTGATAATTTACAATTTCAATTTCTGGATAAAAGTATAAAAGTGACTGGCGAATTTATAAATCTGAGTATCAGAGTCAATTGGGATGATAATAAATGAAGAATTAACAATAATAAGTATTGATCATTTGTTGTTAAAAATGGTGTTTTCCTTCCTTTAAGTACAGATTTACGTATTGTTTACTTTAAATTTTCATCAATAGTTTCTATTTATTAATTGTTTATAAAACTTTTCTTTTTGTTTTTGGAACTTATCATTTTTTATTTAAAAATTACATGACTTAACTTTCCATCATTTATTCATTATCAATTTAATTTTAGGAACTGTCATTTCGACTTTTGCTGTGGCCGGTTTAATGTGGATGGTGGTTCAGGTATTTTTTTTTGAAAAAATATTAGAATTTTGTCAAAAAAATTTAAAGTAAAGGGAGTGTTCGCGAAAAATGAAAGGGGGTATAGGCTTAATGCGATAAAAAGCGCTTTTGATCGCTACTAATCTTACTTCTATCTGTTGCAAATGTAAGGAGAAAATTGTTAAAAACGACTAACACCGAAGAACGTAGTGTTCATACAAATTCAGAAAGATGCTACATACGACTTAGACCGTAAAACAATCTTGTTAAAACAAATTCGAAATATAAGGAAGACGATTGTTCCGACTCAAATGCCGATGTTAATTCCCTGGATGTGTGTGTACACTGAATACACAGAATCCTTTTCCGCCATACAACACACCCCACATGTCAAATCTCCGCTCAACCTAGCTCCCGCTTCACCAGTCAGTCAGCGGAAAACACTCATTGGGAAAATATTTCATAACCTTTTGTTTTAATAAATAAAGATTAGAAATACCATTAGATCTCTTTTATTTCATTTTAAAGTCAACAAATCTATTTAATTTCAAACAAATCATTCAGATATTACACCCTATGGTCATCGATTATCTTTCGCCACATTTATATATAGTTGATTTTTCATAATATGTTTTGATTTTATTTTTTAAAATAACATTCTGCTTCCAACCTGTTTTCGAACATTCCTGGAAAATATGAAAATGTCGTCTTCATTTCCACAAATCCTCGAAACAGGAATAAATGTATAGAATAAAGTATAAACTCTTAGATCATAACAATTAAAACATATTATGAAAAATCAAAAGCGAAAGATAATCGATAACTATAGGTTGTAATATCTGAATGATTTGTTTGAAATTAAATTGATTTTTACGGTCTAAGTTGTATGTTGCAATTTTCTCAATTTGTATGGGCGCCATGTTATTCGGTATGAGACGTCTTCAACAATTTTCTCCTTATAGACGCAACAGATAGAAGTAAGATTAGAAGCGATCAAAAGCGCTTTTTTATCGCATTAAGCCTATACCCCCTTTCATTTTTCGCGAACACTCCCTTTAAAAAAAATGTTTAAAAAATGATTTTTCTAGTTGATCAGTACAAAGATGAGGTTCTTGGACACCCTGTATTTCGGTGCTATAATCTCGGCTACTGATCCTGTTACAACCCTGGCTATATTTACAGATCTTCATGTAGACCCTACACTCACAGGACTTGTACTAGGTACATACGAGGTCGGATTTTATGAATAGCCAGCATTAGCTGAACTAGATTGTGCTGGTTAAGCTGTTTCTCAATTTTTGGCCGAGAGTGCATGAGAGAATCAGCTAACCAAGGTCAACCCACAAAGAATGAGATTTCAGAGACGACTGTAAGGAATTGATTCAGTATTCTTCCTTACGCTCATAATTCATGCTTTAAATAGTTTCTTTTCTTTGAAATATCATTTAGTAAATTATTTACAGTCTAAACTCTATTCAGAGACCTAAAGCTGACCTTCATAACTTCTTATCGTTTAATTTAAAGAGATTTAGGTCGTCTTTTCCTTTGTATACTTCTAGCTGTTGAATAGAGCAGGAAATCTGATTGGTCCCTATTTTATTTCTTGTTAAAATATGAAAAGTTAAACCAAATTTTAAATATTAATATTAAAAATTTATCAGAGTTCGATATTAATGAATTAGTTGAGTTAGGTATTTATTTTTTTAAGATTTAAGTTTGTTACTTTAGGTTTAAACAAAATTAAATTTTTAAAATTAAGATTAGCTACAAAATGTCTGTTGATTCAAAGAATTCGAAGAAATTGTTAACACTTTTGTTCAATTCTTCTTACTTTTTATTGACTCTCTCTCTCTGACTCATGTAAAATTCCTGGTCCACCTTCCATGACATAATATAAGTCATTTTACGCATCATATTTTTGTTTGGGTGTCTGTCTGTTTGTTTGCTTGTTTGTCCGATCAAAACTCAGGAGCCCCTTGACCGATTTTCCTCAAATTTTGATTTGGGAACTCGGGAGAGCCACGGGAATGTTCTTAGCTTGGTTTTGAGATTCTAAGTTGAGTGGGTCGACTTTTATCGGGAAAAATAGCTAAAATTTACGACCAAGTGCGGGTAAACGGTGTAAGTAACTATGAGTAACCTGGGGAACGCGGGTTCCCAAGCTAGTAACTTAACATTTCTTATTTCTAGGAGAAAGTCTGCTAAATGATGCTGTAGCAATAGTGCTTTGCGGAGCAGTTGAAGATTATTCAAGATTCTTTATTCAAGGTAGAAAATATCTTATCTGCAGATTAAATATTTAAAATTGATCAAAAAATATTTTACGTAACAAACATTGACAAACAAAATACGAATAAAATACTGATTACTTAACCCCCCCCCCTCCCTCCGCCCTTCACCTGTTTTGGAACAAACGTAAATATTTCAATTATTTTATATTCATTATTTCATTCATTATTATATTACATTCATTATTTTATTCATTAATTTATTCAATATTTCATTCATTATTTCATTCATTATTTCATTCATTATTTCATTGATTATTTCATTGATTATTTCATTGTTATTTCATTCATTATTTCATTCATTATATCATTAATTATTGCATTGTTACTTTATTCATTATTTCATTCATTATTTCATTTATTGTTTCATTCATTATTTCATTCATCCTATCATTCATTATTTCATTCATCCTTTCATTCATTGTTTCATTCATTATTTCATTCATTATTTCATTTATCCTTTCATTCACCTAATCACCTATCCTTACATTAATTATTTCATTGTTATTTTATTCATTATTTCATTCATTATTTCATTCATTGTTTCATTCATTATTTCATTCATTATATCATTCATTCATTGTTTCATTCATTATTTCATTCATTTCACCTATCCTTTCATTCACCTAATCATTCATCCTTACATTCATTATTTCATTGTTATTTTATTCATTATTTCATTCATTATTTCATTCATTGTTTCATTCATTATTTCATTCATTATATCATTCATTATTTCATTGTTATTTCATTCATTATTTTATTGTTATTTCATTCATTATTTCATTCATTCTTTCATTCATTGTTTTATTTATTATTTCATTCATTATTTCATTTATCCTTTCATTCACCTAATCATTCATCCTTACATTCATTATTTCATTGTTATTTCAATCTTTATTTTATCCATTTTTAGGAGACCCCGATTCTTTTGAGGTTGTGGCCTTTTTTCAGACAATCCTGAATTTTTTCACAATTTTCTTTGGATCTGTCGGACTCGGTTCTCTCCTTGGCGCTATCACTGCTCTAATCACAAAAGTAAGTTGGTTAAACTGTTCTTAGACTAAAAGGTTGATGGAAAGACAAACTTTGACCTGAGGTTGTTTGTGGAGTATCGACATCACTTTATATCTGCAATTTGGGCACTTTTATATTTGATGATCAATGCATGCTTGATCCTTTTATTACAGTTATCTCTTCAAGGTATGACCACTCCGGGATATCTTAGTTAAATTTAATTAATCCGTAAGTCTAAAAAAACTGGAGATCAAAGCCTTTTCTAAAAATGATATTTTAAAATTTAACAACAATATTTTAATTCATTTAATTATGCAAAGCTAAAATAGGAGACACATTTGAGAACATTTTTAAAAGTAGCATCAGATTTTTGATTGGGTCAAAAAGTTTTGTAGGTTTTTAAAAAAATGTTGCAGTACACTTTTTATGTAAACACAAATGTAAGTTTCTAGTGCACTTTTCTTGATCTTATGTTGGGGGGGGNTATTTTCTTATCTCAGAATTATCAAGCCATACAAAGATTTCTAGTTAAAATTAATATTGTTTAGTTCACACATGTCCGAGACTACACCATCCTGGAGACATCTATGTTCTTTCTCCTCTCCTACTCCAGCTATCTATTCGCAGGAACTAATTCGTTTTTTACAAAATAAAATTACAAATAATATTTTTATATATTTTTCAATAATTTAAACAGAAAACCCTTCTAAATATTTAAAACATTTTAAAGGACAAGAAGAGTTGCCAAATACGATTTAACCATTTAATTTTTTTGTCTGTCATTGCAACTCTATTTTTAACATTAATACTGAAATACATTTTTTTTGCCAGCTATATTCAAAAACCTAATTATTTCTCTTCTAAATATTTAAGCTTGATTAAATTTTTAGAATTTTCAATTTATCTTATCTTTATCTCTATTTTTTTATCCTATTAAATACAATTTTCTGAGAAATTACCTTTTTTAATATTTTTATCTAAAACTGAGAAAAGGTTTTATTTAGATCTGCCCCCCCCCCCTCCCGGAGCCCCCCACACTCAACCACCACTCCTCCTCTGTTCAAAACTTTTTTAAAACCATTTTGTTTGTGCAGAGGTTTGCTCTATGTCTGGGATTGTATCAGTTCTCTTCTGTGGCATTACTCAGGTGTTAACTTCACTCATATTCTCAAAAGGAATCTACATTCTTTATATATACTTTGCTTGTCTGTCTGTTGGTTTGTATCCAATAAACGTCAAAACGGCTTAACCGATCGGGCCCAAATTTTATGTGAGGCCTTGCGTGACCCAAAAGGAAGTTTACGGATGATTGATTTTTCAAAAATTTTCTTTAACAAAATTTGATTTTCAAAATAAAAATCACAAAATAACCTTTTTTCTGCCATTTCCCAAATGTAGTCTGCTCTATTGTGGTTTTAATATTACCAGAGAAATGCATGATTTTGCTCCAAATATACGAAAATGTTTTTATTCAATTAAATATAATTTTTTTTCATATCTTTGGTAATTTTGAAAGAACAAAAAATAAATCATCCCAGACGAAATAATATGACTGACATTTGATGTTTTAATTTCAACCATTTTATTCTTGTTTGCTAAACCAACTTTTAATCTTATTCTTGATTAAAATACATGATTTAACTGTTAAAAATTAATACAAATACACGCAAATCAAGTTTTCAATTTTAAAGGCTCCGTTTTAATTGCTCTAAAATAATAATCCTCTTTTAACTGTCTTCCATCGAATAAATGTAAAATAAATATTGTTTTTCAGGTTTATTTAGATTTCTTTTTAGATCTATCATCTTTTTTAATTCAATGAACATTGATTTGTTAGGATTCACTTTATTCTTCTTTATTCAGCATTTGCTCGTTAGACCGGGTATTTTGTTGATTGTATTTGAAAACAAATTTGATTGACCCCTACCTGCTTATTTTACATACAAAGACTTCATGAAGTTTTTTTACTTTCTATATTTTCACAGTACTTTTTTTTGACGCCCCATCACATTTAAAGATTCTTTATCTATTATGCTGTTCTAGGCCCACTACACTATACAATATATAAATCTTCTGTTCTAGGCCCACTACACTATTGTTTATATGTACAATATATAAATATTCTGTTCTAGGCCCACTACACTATTGTTTATATGTACAGTATATAAATATTCTGTTCTAGGCCCACTACACTATTGTTTATATGTACAATATATAAATATTCTGTTCTAGGCCCACTACACTATTGTTTATCTGTACAATATATAAATCTTCTGTTCTAGGCCCACTACAATATTGTTTATATGTACAATATATAAACATTCTGTTCTAGGCCCAATACACTATTGTTTATATGTACAATATATAAATATTCTGTTCTAGGCCCACTACACTATTGTTTATATGTACAATATATAAATATTCTGTTCTAGGCCCACTACACTATTGTTTATCTGTACAATATATAAATATTCTGTTCTAGGCCCACTACACATTCCACAATCTGTCTGCTGAATCAAAACTAAGAACTCGTCAACTGTTCGAACTTCTCAACTTTTTGATGGAGAACTTTATATTCTCGTATATAGGGGTCAGCATGTTCACTTTCAGGTCATGACAGGGAATCTTTTCCTTTTTATAAATACACATAAAACTCCCAATTTTTTTAATTAGAAACATATTTCATAAAATGGTTCGATATTTTCTGCCAAAATGATCGATCGCGTTTCGTGGATTATGAACATTTTTTTCGTGTTTCATTATAACAAGATGGCATTACCCCCAAAGAATGAGTCTTCAGAGTCGTCTGTACATATTTTTTTCAGCTTTTTTGTCAGATTTAAGGTTCCTTGCACCTGTAAATTTCTTTCTTTTTAAAAGAATGTGACAAAAACCCTAAATTCAAATTCCATCCTCCAATCACTGCAACAAAAGAGGGATTATCAATTACAAGTTACAACCTAAAGAAATAATTTTAAAAGTTTCACAACAGCAGTTACGAAATCATTGCAAATGATTGTCACAGAAAATTGTTTGAACTTTCTCTTTTTCTTTTTAGTATACAGGGTGTCCCACATCAAATTAGACCGCGTCAATGGGATATACAGGGTGTCCCACATCAAATTAGACCGCGTCAATGGGATATACAGGGTGTCCCACATCAAATTAGACCGCGTCAATGGGTCTAAATTACAATTTGGGGGATAAATCAGAAAATTTAAGAAGAATCAATCATTTTAAAAAATTTAATAGGGCTAATAGAAATTCTTTTTGTAGAAAATGCTAGATTTTTCGAGTCTTATGGGCGTATTTTGGCGTTAAAGATTGGAGATAATATAATATGATATGGAACGCTCTGTAGTTTTATCAAAGCCAAACCAAACACTAAAAATTATGAAATTTACAATTTGAAATTGTGTTTAGTCGGCACAAGTTTGAGTTTATCTTCATACTCGGAGCAGTTCTTGCAATAGGGGTTGCTAGAGCTCTTAACATCTATCCTCTTAGCTTACTACTCAATCTGGGCAGGTTAGAATATTTAACATCTTAGTTTTAAATGTTAAATATTTGAATTTTTTATTTTCCATAATTTTAGGAGTAAACCGATCCCATGTAAGTACCAGCACATGATGTGGTTCTCAGGACTCAGGAAAACTAACTCAAAACAAAACATGAACTCAATCCACTCACAATTCTTATCCTTCTTTTACTTGAAGGGACTGTAGGCGTAATATTAAACGACCCTATAATTTTCATAACGTGTTAATGTCTAATGCCCTTTAAAAAAACCTTTGTCTGATCAAGAATGAATAAGATTTCATTTTTTTCTGTAGAAAAGTAATTTTCTCTAAATAGTAGTAATAGTAATAATGATAAAAGTGCAGCTACAAAGATAATGAAGAAAATTGTCAGAATTTAACACGCTCTAAGGTTGAAAAACGCCGACATCTTTCATAGTGCTACTCAGATAGAGCTTTTGTGTACTAGACAATGAACATGCCTATCTGAAAATGAAGGTTTTTTAAATTAAGTCTACAGTCACTTTAAACATTCAACTGGAATTCATGTGAATTTGTTTGTTCTTGAGCAGAGGTGCTCTTGCATTCGCGCTGGCAATCAAGAACACTGTGTCTGAAGCTAGACAGGAACATTTCCTAACTTTATTTTGAAAATTAAAAAAATATCTAAATATATAATCCTTGATTTAGGTTTCTCAAAATATACAGAATGTACCAAACTGGAAGTTAAAATTAATAGCAATAAGTAGTTCTACTAGGTATTGCTAATTAAACTACTTCTATATTTTGGCAGAAGGTGCAAAAGCGTTGTTCAATTAGTCTTACATAGTTCAAATATGCTATTCATCAATGTTTGCCAAAAATTCTTTTCAATTGCATTCACTTTATAGTTTTTCTAAGAAAGATTTAGAGAAAATGCAAGTTTAGATAATATTGACGACAACCTCACTGATTGCCATTGTTACTGTTATATTCTGCGGGGGATTGACCCCACCACTCCTAGGACTTCTGAAGGTATACATAGTTTACAGTGCGGTCATGGATGGTGTACCGTGTACAGTTTATATGGTACGGTCAGATGGTGTACAATGTAAGGTACTGATAGATGGTGTTCAATGAATAGTACAGGGTTAGATGGTGTCGCAAATATAGTACGGGCGGAGGGTGTACAATGTGATGGTGAACAATGCATTGTATACAGGACGGTTAGATGGTTTGGAATGCATATTAAGGTCAGATGGTGTACCGTGTATTAAGTACGGTTTGATGGTGTATGGTGTATTGTATTGTTAGATGGTGTATGATGTATAGTGCGGTTATAGTGAGGGTGTACGGTGTACAGAACTGTTAGATGATGTACAATGTATTGTAAGGTACAGTTAGATGGTGTAGAAAGTACAGTACGCTCAGATGGTGTACCGTGTACAGAACGGTTAGATGGTTTACAGTGTACAGAACGGTCAGATGGTGTACAATGTATAGTACGGTTAGATGGTGTACCATGTATTGTATAGTACGGTTAGATGCAGTAAACAGTGTATATAGTACGGTTAGATGGTGTAGAAAGTAAAGTACAGTCAGATATGTACCGTGTATAGTACGGATAGATGGTGTACAATGTATTGTACAGGACGGTTAGATGGTGTACGGTGTATAGTACAGTTAGATGATGTAGAAAGTATAGTACTGTCAGATGTACCGTGTACAGTACGGTTAGATGATGCACAATGTATTGTATAGTACAGTTAGATGATGTAGAAAGTATAGTACTGTCAGATGTACCGTGTACAGTACGGTTAGATGGTGTACAATGTATTGTATAGTACAGTTAGATGATGTAGAAAGTATGGTACGGTCAGATGTACCGTGTACAGTACGGTTAGATGGTGTACAATGTATTGTATAGTACGGTTAGATGCAGTAAACGGTGTATAGTACGGTTAGATGGTGTACAATGTATTGTATAGTACGGTTAAATGATGTACACTATACAGCAAAGCTAAGATGAAATACCTTGTTTACACAAAAGATAAAAGTTAGGTTTAATTTTAGTCTTCACATTGAAGATTCTATAAAATATTCAGGTTTGATAACTATTATTTTTTAATTTAAAATGTTATCAGCATTTAAAAAAGATTGTTTTTCCTATTTTTAGATTCCTATCGGTGTAGTTGATCCTGGGTCGGATGAGACCCAAATAGAAGCAGGAAGAGAAGAAGAGGAAGGAGAAGGACATGAACGTAGAACCCAAGGACAAGGAGAACTAGTAGGAGGAGAAGGAGGGTGCTCTGATAGTTCCATTGAATCTCAGTCATTCAGCCAGGAGGTTAGGGGGTTAGGGACTTGTCAAAGATACTGTAGACGTAATTTTATGCGACATTGTCTAGATTCACAACAGTACCCTTATATACATTCGACTGATCATTGATGATGAAGGTTTCCTGATTTTACCTATATTATGTAAGATGTTTTATCCAGTCGTCATCGTATATATCAATATAATGAGAACTACTTTCGATCTCAACTTTTGATTTCTACCAAGCTTAACATCATTACTTATTTATTATTTATTGAACAGCATGGATAAATCAAACATGAAAAAAGAAAAGCTGTCAATTCAGAGTTTCGATTTGATTTGATTTGTAAACTTGTAATTTGATAACAGAAATTAAAACGTAGATAGAAAAGTCGTCTTCATTGTATTGATGAAACGCCGACCACCATATAAAAAAGCACTTTATTCCAAGAGTCACAAGAAATATATCTTTTCATTCGAATTTTCAAAAACACCATATTGGACATTTCAGGGATACATAAGTGTATCCTATATAGCTTGAACATAAATGTTAGCGAGAAAATAACGGATTTCTCTGCCGTCAATTCGCGGAAACAAGTTAATTTGATTTTTTTAAATATCTTTTGTGAAGGAAATTTTTGAACGTTACGTCTGAGACTCCCATAAATGGTGATAATGGTGTCTCAATAAATTAAAAAAAATATTTTAAATCATATATTTAAGGTTCCTAAGAGTTCCCTAGCTCGACACTGGAAATCTCTTGATAAAACCTTACTTAAACCTTTACTTACAAACTCACAACCAACCCTCCAGGTAAACATGACGCACTCGCCCTTTAAAACCTTTCATATGGCACATTCTCCCTTTAGGATTCAAAGTTGACGAATGTTCCCTCTAAAAACTGTTAAATGCGCATTCTCAATTTTATATTTTGAAATCACACATTTCTTAACATTGTTGATCAATGTTTGACGCATTTTCTGATTATAGAATAATGCATTCTCCTTTCTCCAAACATGGATAATTATTTTGCATCCGTTTTTTGTCAAAGTTTCCTAAATCCTAGTAATTATATTTAGGAAACGATGGCCTGGCTCGGACCTGTAGCGCGCTGGTTAACTACTACTGATCAAATGGCGGGGACGTATATCACACGAGGGTAAGATTTAATATCTATATAATGAAACAAGACATTCGTATATATATATGTTGCGTATAGCCAGCTAAACGGCTGGACCGAATGGGCTTAATTTTTTTTGTGGACATTTTTTTTCACGGGCAACGCCGGGCCCTTCAGCTAGTATATCATAAAGTTAAAATTTGAACGAAACCCTTTTACCTCCTTTGACTCCGCCGAGGTGTTTTATCTTTTACAGTTGTTTAACAAAATGTAAAGTTTAGAATCCTTAAATTTTCATTTTACAAAGATAGGTCAAACAATTAATGCTGCAAATTATTTCTGAGCACAAAGGTTTAACTTACATTATTTGTAATGTATTTTTTCCTACTTATTCTCATGGTTTTATCTTCTTGATTGTGAATTTTATTGTCATTTGATAAAGGCTGCAGCCCTGAACTGTCATTTATATTTTAAGGGAGGTTAAGCGTAACCCTCCATGTAAAGATGCAATGCCCGATTTACAACGGTACCCTTGAAACCTTAATCTGATCAAAAATGTGGAAAATAACGTCCTTTTCCTGACTCTAAAAGTGTTTATATCTGTGAGTGCCTCCATTGCTTCTTATAATTCAGAAATGCGCAAGTTATTTTTTCAGAGAAATTGTAAATAAAATCAAACAATTTGAAGATACTTACTTATATATGGATATATAATTCATGCTAGATTAACAAAGCGTCGGGCATTGCCACCTTTTTACATAAAGGGTCACTTGAAATACGCTTACAGTCCCTTTAATTCTATGATTGGTTAACATTTTATTGCTTAAAAACTAATATTTTTAGAAATCTGCCAGGCGGAAATGAATCATACAGAGAACAAACAGATGTCTCCAACCCTCAATATCAAACCTCCAATCCAACCCATCCTCCAATACTGCCTCCATAGCTAGAACTGAAACCTCCCAGGCATAGAAATATATAAAATTTATTTTTGGAAAATTATAGATAACAAAATTTAATTCCAATATAATTTTCGCTGAACTTTTTTTTAAAGCTTTAAAAATTTCTCGATTTATTTTTTGAGTCTTCTAATCTAGTTTAATTCGTGAATAAAGAATGACGCTGTTAGTCTCACCCGTCTCCCGTAAAGGAACTGTTATTTTAAATAAAACTTCATTTTTAACGTGACATAACCGATTAACAACGGTCCCCTTTAAAACTTAGATTGGTCAAGGATGACACAGGAATCTTTATTTCATGAGTAGAAACGCTATCGTTATATTAGCACACAAAGAAATACGGAATTCTCCGCCGTCGAATATCAGATAAAGGTTTAAAGGGTACCGTTATGAATCGGACTTGCCACACCACAACTCGACAATTCCTTTGAAGTATTATTTACATAAAATATATATATCTCTTTAAAGAAGGAAACAAGGAGAAGATATGGAGTTTACAGTCTACAATACATTCTCTAAACAATCTTAAACGGACGAAATATGAAAATCAGAAACCATGATCTAATGATCTAGTGCAGCGGTACTATTATATGTATAGGAAAAAGTAGAGTCCTCCGATCAAGGTTGCTTGATGTTGTTTGTTTGATGTCACACAAGAAACACAAATTTTTCATTTATCTCATCTTTTTACTTAAAATATATCGATTTATGACTTGTTTATAGAAACATTTTTTATAATGTTTAGAACAATTTTCGCATTATAAAATAGCTGTTATACTTAATTTCTGTATTTTGTTGCCATATAAGTTTGTGTGTTTTAATATTTTATTTATTTATAAATTTCTGTGATAATTTTGTTGTTCAATCTATATATAAATTTGGCTTGTCTGTTTGTTTGTTTGTCTGTTTGTTTGTTTGTATCCAATAAACGTCAAAACGGCTGAACCGATCGGGCCCAAATTTTTTGTGGGACATCTAGGGAGCCCAGGGAAGGTTTATGAATCATCAAAATTTCAAATATTTGTCTCTATCAAAATTCGATCGTCATTAAATTTTTTAAAATTTTGAAAATCCGCGAAATTTTTTGTAAAAATCCGCAAATTATTTTTGTTTAGTTTTACGATGTACACAAAGAGAACATGTTTACAATTAATTTAGAAGATGGGCGCGAAGCGCCCTCTAAGGCTAGAAAGAAGGGCGCGAAGCGCCTTGAATTTCTAGTGATATAAAATGATCTCCAGGAAATGTTTATTTGTGTAAAAATCAAAATTTTTTATAAATTGTCTTGTAATTATTTATCGTTTTATCTATGTAATATCTATTAAAGATATTAATATTTATCTTAATTTTAAAGCAAAAAATATATGTTATATCAATGTCTATCCATTTTTTAAAGTTGCTGAAATCGATGTTGAGACGCTTCTATTAACAATTTTTTGGCTCTTGGTTTTTTGTTTTGAACTTGACCATTTCTAATCATTTTCAAATTTTCCCGGATTTTCTGTTGAAATTGGCGCATTTTCAAAAATAAGAAAAGTCGACAATTTTCACTGGGCAAAATTGTTCAACTTTGTATCTAGATCTCTTTGATTATTTTTAATTCGATAAAAGCTTGTTAACAAACAAAACTTTATTAAAAAAAATCGTCTTCATTGTATTGATATTATCGCCATTTGAAAGCTAAAAAATACACGAAATAGGTCCAGTATTTTTTACAATTGCCATTTTTACAGTTGATCAAACTAAAACTTTCCTATCTGTATGAAAGTTTAAATAAAACGCAATTCTCAGATAAAATTTGAAATTTTTATGCACAATTTAAAATAATGCGCTTTTCCCCCCCCCTGCTCCAACACGCAAGGTATTAAGTTGACCGACTTCCAGTATAAAAACTGGCCATTTCTTCCATTTTAATACAGTTGAAATTGAACTATCAATTCTAATACATCTAACAAAACAAGATGAAGATCTTCATGCCTGTATTCGTTTTCACGGTAAGACCATTTTATTTTTAAAATTTTATACAGTGCGAGTCGGCATGCATGAGATTGAATTCTAATAAAAAGCTTCTTCCATGATTTTATATTAAATCAATATGATTTAATTAAAGAGAATCTCTGTTCTGTGGATTTAATACACAAATTTCATTAATGATATATATGCGCGTTACCGAAGACTCTTTTTGCGTTACATAAACTAATTAGGGTTTTATTCATTGTTAAATTTTCGTTAATTCATAACTTTTTTGAAAATTTTTCCAGACCTTCCTTTCTTAAGAGAATTTTAATAGATGGCTATCTAAAGTTTTAAACTTTCGTTATGGATAGAGAATATTGAGGAATATAAATTCTATGTACCGTGTTACACGACTGGATCAATAAAATGAAGACCACTTTTGATTTTAATTTTGATGTATAACCAGCTTTTAAACTGCATGGATATTCACAAACATGGAAACAGAGAGAAGCTGTCAATTAGAAAAACTCCACTTTAATTGCTTGTAGAGTTATAATTAGAAAAAAGCTTGTTAACAATTAAAAAATAAACAAAAAAGTAATCTTCCTTATAAATTGCTATAATCGCCTACAATCGTAGAATAATTTCAAAATTAAATTTTGTTTGAAATGAATCTAACAAGTACAGTAAATAAATTGACCAATAAGTTGGTTTGAATTTTAATTACAAAACATAATTTTTTTTTTACATATTTGACGAAATATTCTGTTGCAGGTTCTGATTTCTCTCGTGTTTTCGGACCCATACCCGGAGCCCGAACCTGAACCCAGTGCTCCCGCTAGGTTCTCACTTGAAGAGGAGCCAACTGTCTACCCTGCCAACCCTCTAGTTAATATCAGGACCAAGAGAGGGTTTGGGAAGAAGAAGAAGAACTACCAGAGAAGACCTAGGATTTCAGGACAGTATATTCAACCTGGCCCAACCTACTACTCTGTCCCGAGCTATGGAAGATCAACCTATTTTTCAAGACCTAGCTTTGGAAGCTATTATAATAGTCCTAGATATTACTCAAGAAATAGCTATTACCCACAAGCTAGCTATTAGGCTAGTTTCAGACTAATTGTAAAATGTAAAAATACGAATTTCAGAAACAATAAAATTAATTTATAATTTTTGTTGCTTCACTAAATTTTTCAAAAGAAACAAAATTCAAAACTAATGATTTTATTTAAACCCCCAAATCTAAGAAAGTCTTAAGTTTGTAAAATTTAAAACCTGAAGGTAACATATTGGTCACACTTATACTTCAGACATCAAATTACAAATAAATATTTTAACTATTTATAAATTAAACCTTGTACAGTACATTAGAATTTGTAGTGGATCGAGATAGATTTGTACGTTTTGTGAGTTTTCTAAACTGTGATTTACATTCTTTTTACCTTAAAATCTACAAAAGTGATGGCCCACAGTTTTAAACTGTGAACGTACATGAAACAGAAGCTTTATACTGCATTACTATCATTCCAAAATGCAATACATTTAAGATACTTCGCACTCGCAGTACATTATAAAAAATTCAATTCTACAACTTTAAAAGAGTTAATTAGACTTTTATAATTTGTTACCCAAATGCCGAATATAGTGCATTTAAGATATTTTTACTATTGTTGTTTATCATCTACACTAGCTATAGCTATCTTTTTTTATGCATTTGAATAAATATTGTTAATTATCCTGTTGATTTGAGATAGAGCTTTAACAGTACAATTTTTGAAAACAATTATTAATTCGTTCTTAATAAACCGCGGTTTGAAATGTTGTTTTGTTTAATATATTTGGTCTGAAAAACAATTTTGCATATTGTAACACTACCAGAAAATCGGACTTTGCTGTAGGTTTGAAATAACAAAGTATTTTAATGCAAAAACCTTGAATGTTCAAAACAATGACCTCCAGTAATATTAGTACAAATATACAGGGTGTCCCAATAAACATGTGAATTGAGAGACGACTCGAAAGTCGTCTTTAATTTCTGATATTTAATGCATGGCATAAAAAGTAAAATCTGGGCTGTACGTCTGACGAGCTTTTCATAACGTGGTCTACCTTTCTTGTATCTTAAAGATTGACAAAGATATTAGATATTAAGACAATTTTGATAGATAAAATATTTAAATAAACTGAAATTTGTGCAATATCTCCATCAATTTTGAAGATAAAAAAATGGTATACCACATTTTGAAAATCTTAAGACCATGTATTTTCGATGTTAAATGCTTTAGCTGGAATACAGCAATAATTTTGATCATGAAAAAATGCTGCATGGATCGAAGACGATTTAAAGTCGTCAATAAATTCCCACGTTATATTTGGGACACCCTGTACTTGATACTGTGTCTTGTGATTATTAAAAATATATTTGCCTTGATTTGGGGGAGGGAGGGAGTGTAGAGGGAGGGAGTGTAGAGCCACCATGAACCCCGCGAAATGACCTCCGAAGCCTCCTGATACGCAAAATCACATTCAAGCCAAGCCAATTTGTCTCCGCTTGGTTTTATAGGTTAACCAGCCTAAAGATATCAAGAATTAGACCACATTTTGGAAAGCTTATTGGTGGATCCGCATTTGAACTACTGCCGTTTGAACTACTGATCATATGAACTATTGATCGCTTGAACTATTGTTCATTCTAACAATATTTCCTCATTTGAACTATTCGAACTATAAGCAGTTTAAAATTTATATTTCATGTAGAATAGTTTGATCAAAAGGCATATTTCACATGGACTTTAAAAAAGTTAAAATAAAAAAAATGAAAGTTTAAATAAACCAAAAATAATTCAAATGAAATAGTTCAAATAAAGCAAAACAAATAAAGCATATATAATAATGGAAGTTCAAATAAACAAACATAAAGCATAACAACAGTATTTTACTTCAAATGAACAAACAAATTGTTTAAAGAAAAAAGTTGTTCAAATGAACATAAAAATAGTTCAAATGAGCCAAAGAATAGTCTAAAAAATGTAATGTCCTGCATAAACTAAATTTCATATTATTTCAATTCTTTTGTTTATTAAATATTTTTTAGTTCATTTAAACTATTTTTTTTGTTCAATTTAAATTTATATTCATTTGAACTAAAATTTTGTTCATTTGAACTTTTTTGTGCATATTTTTGATTTCATTAGAACTACTTTTTGCTCAAAATTGAACCAATTTGAACTAATTTTTTTTGCCATTTCTATTTTTTATGCTCATTTGAATTATTTGTTTTCTCATTTGAACTATTTTTTGGTTCCTTTGAACTATTTTTTGCTCATTGGAACTACTTTTTTGTTCATTTGAATTATTTTTGGTTTATATGAATTATAACTTTTTTGCCCATTTGAACTATTTTTTTGCTCATTTGAAATATTTTCTGGTTTATTTGAACTTTTTTTGGTTCATTTGGACTATTCTTTTGCTCACTTAAACTATTCATCTATTCTTTGGTTCATTTGAATTTTTTTTTGGCTCATTTGAATTTTTTTATATTTCAAATGAACAATATTTCACATAAACATGAAAAAAGTTCAAATAAGCACAGAATTTTATCGTTTGAACTAAAAATTGGTCGTTTGAACTTTATTGCACGTGGTACCCCGTGCAATATTGTTCAAAAAGTCTATAGTTTAAACGGCAGTAGTTCGAACACAATAGCATCAGCTCATCAGACAAAATTTCTTTATGCCACTTATCAATAATCGAAAATCAAAGGCAATTCCCATGTTTATTAGGAGACACTGTAGAATCCACAATAGTTCCAAGCATAGTTTAATCCACAAAGTTCAAATATAAATTTATTCAATTGATCTTAAGTTTTAACTTGTTTTCTTGTAAAAAGTTTAGACAAATAATTACAAATTAAAAGCAACAATTCAAGTATTTCACAAAAACTATTTTTTTTTGTGAATTGGTGCTTATTATATAATTTGATTCGGTCAAGATATCACATGTAAAATAATACAAATTTCTCTATATAAAACTGCAGTAGTTAAGGAATTTGTGAAATTTAGAAAACAAAAATAAAATCTTAATCTCAATAAAATAGACTTATAAATGTAAAAGCCAAATATCTTTTGTTGGCGATCAATATTCGGGGCACGGAGACAGAATGGCGGAGGCATGGAGAGGTAACGAGAGGCGGGGAGACGGTTTTGCGGGCCTAAGAGGGCATTAGCTACGTTTCAGGAGGCTCCGGAGGTCATTTTACGGGGCTCATGGCGGCCCTGAACTCCCTTCCTCTTTGGGGTCAAGGCTTTTATTTAGCACTACAACAATGCATCATGTATCTGTGCATAGTTTTTCAGATAAGGGTTATTTGTTCTTCAAAGCAATTGCTCAGTCTAAAATATTTAGCATTTTGGTTAAGAATAATTATATTTCCTTACAACTTTAATTTATTGATATCTTAATATGTATTAAGTACATGTAGGGTTGATGATCGCATTGGTTCGTTTTTGAAGGTTTTTGAACTCTAATAGGTTCCGCGAACATCTGAAAAGATTTACAAATTTCAAAATTGTTAAATTCTAAACATTTGCTTTTTATGACACTATGCCAAATATTGACCCTAAGATAAAATAAATGTAAACCAAAAATAAACTTAAACCAATCGATTTAAAACGTCCGTTGTTTGGTATGTTTTATTCTTCGTATATATCAATACCATGAAGACAAGACCACTTTCGATTTCAAGACAAACTGCAAAAGAATTCAGTTTTGAAATGACTGATTTAGAAAACAGTTCTGAGCAGCAATAATTGGCATGAAATTTAATAAAACACTCGAATTTGTCAGATTTTGCCGAGTTAAAATTTGTCGAAATTTTGCAAGATGAAGTCGAGTTTGTCATCTTTTCTGCTGAGTTTACAATTCTCAAAATTTATGAAATACTCGTATTTTTCAACCATGTTTTTGTCCAGTTTGCCTAAAGAAATGGTGGAAAAATATTCTTTTATGGAAGAAAAAACAATCATTTATGAGTACTTTATTTTCCTAATTTTGATTTGATTTCAGGTAAAATGGAATCAACGAGGTTTTGTCTTCTCAAGGAGGAACATTTTAAAACTTTGTTAAAAGGTAAAACCAAGAACAAAGTTACAGAAACTGGTAAATACAGTGTTGTTCAGAAACTGGTAAATACAGTGTTGTTCAGAAACTGGTAAATACAGTGTTGTTCAGAAACTGGTAAATATAGTGTTGTTCAGAAACTGGTAAATACAGTGTTGTTCAGAAAGAATGAGACTTTAGAGACGACTGTAGGGAGTTATTTTTCTTACATCCATGCCTTCATTTAATAATATATTTTTCTCACATCCATGCCTTCATTTAATAACATATTTTTCTTACATCCATGCCTTCATTTAATAACATATTTTTCTTACATCCATGCCTTCATTTAATAACATATTTTTCTTACATCTATGCCTTCATTTAATAACATATTTTTCTTACATCCATGCCTTCATTTAATAACATATTTTTCTTACATCCATGCCTTCATTTAATAACATATTTTTCTTACATCCATGCCTTCACCTAATAACATATTTTTCTTACATCCATGCCTTCATTAAATAACATATTTTTCTCTACCAAACCCTTTAGGAAAGTATTAAAATAAGTTAAAATTTATCATTTAGATTGTCATATTCAATATTATTATTATTTATATTGCAAATATGTATATTGCAAATTCTCATATTCCATAATTTGCGGTTGTGTAAAATACAGAAAAATTCCTGTATGTTTAATTTTTAAAAAATCCAAAATGCTTTTTATAAGCATTCTCGATATATATAGCCTAGATAAAGATGATTATGTTGCTTGAAATTAGCATATGCCATTATTTCTATATAATAAAATGTCGTCTTTTTCATAGTCTGAAGATTTTTTCCAATAATTTCTCTTTAGTATTTATATTATAAAAAATGTCGTCATTAGCATAGATGAAGAATTATTTCTATAAAAAGAGAAAAAATGTTGTGTCTTGCATTGTCCGAAGAAATCTCGAAAAACTACTCTTTATTTTTACAAAAAAATATGTAAAACTAAATTCCGTAATCAACATGTGATGCATACAGTGAAACCCTTAATAACGAATACATCGAAAGAATTTATCAAATGTCGTCTTGACAATTTTTCAATGAGTTTTATACTATATTACGTAAATTTCAGTATTTGTGAAAATGAATAAATAGCCATGAATATGCGGGAACAGTTTTAAAGAGTTCCATATAATCATTTAATTGAAAAACTAAATATCTGCAACATTCCATTATCAGAAAGTGAAGAATACGACATTTGATGAATTCTTTCGATGTATTCGTTATCAAGGGTTTCACTCAGAGTAATACCGCTGTTATCATGTATAAAGAAACGGAAAATATAAATATTCATTTAAAAAAAATTATTATTCATATTCCTATTCAGTGTCGTCTTTTTAGTTTCATCCTTTCTTTATGTCACCATGAAACTTAATATAGTAAATAGTCTAATCTGAATTGAACAATGACACGATTATGCAAACAAACTGTATATTCACTCGTTTAAAAATAGAAAACAATACTCATTGAACAAAATGTGATAAGAGTAGAGATGAACACTTCAGGAATTCCCTCGCCTCGATTGGCACTACTCAAATATTAAGTCTTTTAGATTTTTCAAATTGTACAAAAAATTTGATCATTTTATGTTTTTCCTTGACCAAATATTGGTTAATTCACATTGAGAACAAAATCTAATATGTACATCCAAGAAAAATAAATGCAAGAACAAAATTTGGCTTGGTTTCTAGGTTATTTAGCTCTATGCGCATAAAGAAATATATGCAAAAAGTCCATTTAAGTTTCTCCCATGGTAAGATTTAGAGATAGAGTTATCAAAACATTTATAAATTATCTAATAATATTGATAAACAGATTTGGTAATTCGTTTAGTGAATGCTTCTGTTGGGTTTTTACTAATTTCTACAAAACCGACCCATAATTGTTAAGAATATGGCCTTTTCAGGCTAAAAATAGAAGAAAGATTCATATATTTGCCTCTCATTCAAAACCCATAAAGATATATGCTGATCAAAATAGTAAATTTGTTTATCATGGCTTTAAGATAATTTACAAACGTTATAAACTTTCTAGCACTAAAGCTGACCGTGGGAGAAGCTGAAATGTGCTTTTTGAACATATTAATATTTGCTCATAAAGCTAAATAACCTACAAACCAAGCCAATGTATTTCTTTTTCTTGAATGTACACATTAGATTTAGTTCTCAATGTGAATTAACCAATATTTGGTCAAGGAAAAACATAAAATGATCAGATTTTTTGTACAATTTGATAAATTTAAAAGACCAAATATTTGAGTAGTGTTGGCGGACGTTTTCTCCCAAAACCAACTCTTCCAACCAACCCCTTCATTGATAATAACCCATCAGGGTTTTCCGTCCGTTATTCCCGACACCTAGTGCAGAATCCAATAATCATGTTTTTATCTCTACTCTCTTCAGCTTCCAGGTGCCTGGACCCGCCTAACCGTTATCCCGAGTTCTAACGTTATTTCTAGCTGGGCATTATTTTTAAAACTTTTCTAAAAGGCAACTAAACCCCGGCTTGGGTTTGGATCCGTGTACTATTTTAACAAATTATGTACAATACTGAATATGTACAACACAACAGGTATGAAACCGTGCTGGTTTGCAGTATATACAGGGTGTCCCAATAAACATGGGAATTCAGTGACGAATTTGATATCGTCTTTTTAAATAATTCTTTGATTTAGTATTGTGATACCTACTATGTTCACATTTTGTTTGTTTATGTTTTGACTGCATACGGTTGTACTTGTACTTGTACGGAGACATTAAAGACACACCTTTACAGTCTTTTACATTTTTCATGAAATAAACTCTAGCAGACATAATAATATTATGGCTTTTGAAATTAGGTATTACAATGCTAATTCATAACAAAGACGATATCAAATTCGTCACTGAATTCCCATGTTTTTGGGACACCCTGTACAATAAATCTAAGCAGTTTTTACTTTTCAATCATTTAGGCACAATCTGTTCTACATCAAAGTTTTATGGACCCTTCTCACTGGTTATAATATTTGAGAGAAAAAATGATGCAAATGATGATGATTATGACAAGTATGAAAACTATGTTGTTCTTGAGGTTGGTATTAATGCTGCTGAAATTAAAATCAAGGTTGGAGGGGAGAAGCGCTCCTTGATCAAAGTAACTGGTGATCAGGGATTAGATGTAGGGGTGACACAGACGTACTGGTTCTCATATGACAGAGATGGGAAGGTGTTTAAGTATGGGAAAGGACACATAATGGAGGAAACAACGCTGATGTTTTATGATTTTAATGTGAGCTATGATTCAAAATTAAGAATTTTCTTTGACATAAATCCTGGCGCTGAGAGGACTATTCTTCTCTACAGCAGTAGAAATGACTCTGAGATGAAAGAAGATAATTTTGATAAAACAAATATTGGATCCATTAATTTTGAATCTTTGATTCATGTTACCAGTGATCCCTTGAACTTCAGTCCATCTCCTTTTCTGAAAGAGTTTGAACCATCAGTGGAATGTTTGATCAATCCTGAGCACACTCATTCCAACAGTCCCCATCTACCTCCTGAATGCAAACAGATTTATGAAAACATTAAGAATATCCTGGTGCTTGATACTCTGCTAGTTGATCAAATCAGAAACAGTATCCAAACAGAAGGTTATATCCTCAATAAGTTTCTGAAGAAGAAGGCATATCTTAGAATAACCTTCGGTGATAATCAGGGAAACTCTCCTGGATGTCCTAATGTTCTAGAGATATGGCCAGCAGGGGCGGAAAGTCCAATTCACAATCATGGAAGGTGTAGCGCCGTGATCAAGGTACTTCATGGTAACATCCAATGCAGAATCTTCAACAAGATCACAAATCCTCCTGCTAAGAACCCAGCTCCTATTAAGGAGTTTACTGCAAGCAAGGGTGATTATACCTGGATGAATGACCGCTGGTTCCAGACTCACCAGCTCAGGAATATATCAGATGACTACTGCGCTACGCTTCAGTGCTACCAATATGCTCCTGAAGATGGTACTCACTATCCTAAGTTTGATTTTAAGTCCCAGGAGGTGCTTGACGGGTTTCATCCTGGATCTGATCTTTCATACCAGAAAATGAAGGAAAATGTTATGCAGGAGTGGACAACTAGTTTGCTAGCTCGAGAAAATCTCCGGCTACAAGAGGAGATCACTGAAAATTGTCTGAAAATACAAAGATTGGAGCCCGATATCACTAGTTTGAAGAATCATGTCAGAAATGTAAAGAAGAAAAACAAGTGTTTTGATACTGTAAACAAGACATGTGGACCGCTCGTTGGAGTTGTTGGTGCAGTAATTGGTGGACTATTTGCATTTTGTGGGCCCATATGTGCACCCTATTTTTAGGATCATTTCTTATATTGCATTTACTTATGAAAAATGATGATAACCATGAAAGGGAAAAAAACATTTTAACTTTATTTTTAACAGATGTTTTTTCTCTGCATTAATTTATCTATTTATCTTATTTATTTAATTATTTATTGTTGTTTTTACTTGTAATTATTTGAATTATTACTTATTTTCTTAGAACACAATGTTGTGCTGATATATGTTACAAATATAAAAGAACATTAGTCAACTCTGTAAATGTTTACAAAGGACCTCCTGGAGTTTGTAATAACTCTTTTAATAATAGAAATAGATGGTGCTAACTTTGCACCTGTATTCTTTTAATCCATAAGGGACAGAAAAAAAAATTCAACTTTTTTTCTTGATCAGGGACGTAGAAAATTTTTATCTAATGGGGCGCCTAGAAATTTAATTTCACTGGACAACTTGGATTTTTAGGCGCATCTTTTAATAAAAATGGTTCATTTTAGATCTTTAAGCTTTTGAAGACACTTCATAAAGAATGGTATATGGTTTAAAATAAGCTAAAATTATTATTTTCGTCGTTTATGACAAATGAAATCCAAGAAGGGGGTGTTCAGTGAAATTGATTTTCTAGGCACCCCTTCCGATAAAAATAGTTCATTTTGAATCTTTAAGCTATTGAAGACACGTCCTAAAGGATGGTATGGTTTGAAATAATCTAAAATCATTATTTTCTTAGTTTTTGACAAATTAAATCCAAGAGGAGGTGTGTTCAGTTAAATTGATTCCTAGGCGCCCCTTTCGATAAAAATAGTTCATTTTGGATATATAAGCTGTTGAAGACACTCCCTAAAGGATTGTATGGTTTAAACTAATCTAAAATTAATGTTTTCTTAGTTTTTGACAAATGAAATCAAAGAGGGGGTGTTCAGTGAGATTTTTTCTCTTGACGCCCCTAAAAAGTATGAATTATTTATTATTTCAAAGAAATATTAAATATTTTTATGATTTTACTTTCCTTTCCATATTTAATTTTGCACTAATGGCATTGATTCTTCTCCAATTTCAGGGGTCTGATGTGGATATAATGGCCCCCCTGACTACTGGCATTTTAGCCCCTGAACCATACAGGGCTCCTCCTGCAAGCTGAATCTGTCCTTATTAGGCTTTTCTGTCATGGTCTAATATTCTGTCAGACCTAAAATCTTGAAAACAATAATGATTTATCGGCAAAAAATATGTATAAATATAAACACGTGTTTTGTGCCACACACCCTCCCCTTTCTACGCCCCTGTTAATACAAACTCCAGGAGACTAGTGAGGTTCTTATTTTTGAATTATTTTTTAATCTATTGATTATATTTTCAGACCTGGCAGAGTTTTAATAGCTATTTACCCTTGTTTTATCCAATGATGAGTTGTCTACTAATATTAACAGGAAAATTATATATAATTGCTCTTCCCTCATATATATATGTTATATATGCCAAATAATTTTTCAAAGCAAGTGTTGTTAAAATTACACCAGGAACGCCGGGCACTTCATCTAGTCTTTCGCATTGTTATTTATGAAAAGGTTTAAATGGTATGGTTGCAGACAAAAGCTGAACACAAACAATTAATGTTATCAAGTATAGGTTTGTGGTACTTTTAAAGTAAAGGTAAAACTATTTGGCACTTTTTTGATAAAACTGCTCAGTCAAATTCACCTTGCACCAATTCCAACATTTTAACAAATTATTTCAGATTTTTTTTAATAACTTTCAAACTCAATCAGATCTTTGTTTTTTTGTGAAAATCAAATGACAATGTGCCAGAAAAAATTTAGGCTAAATATATCAAGATGGGTATCTGATTATCCGTCTAAAGGCACTGACTTCAGAATCGATAAATTTGTAAAAATCCCTTAAAATTAAGCAAATAACCGTTTTTTTTGTAAGATAGTTTTGATACTATAAAAATACTAGCTTTTAACCTTTAAAAAACAATTTTTGAAAAATCGAAAAACGGATAAATGGACTTGGGACTGTATTCAGCGGTTCAAGGCCTATCTTTCAATACACATATTAACATGTTTTGAAAAAATAGAAAAATTTCCTATTGTGTTTTTTTTTTGCTGCAAAAAGGATTGCACATTTTCGATGTAGTATTGTTCTTATCGATTAAGAACACGTAGGTTTCACATTGTTTATTCGCAATCAATTTACTAACTCTTTTACACTTTGAACTTCACATGGGTAAAACAAAATAAAATATTTATAATCAAATATGTTCAACCATTGAATTATTTACAACAGATAATTTAAACATAAATAATAGTGTTAACACAAATTCAAAATATAAGGAAGACGATTTTTCCGACTCAAATGCCATAGCCTTTTCTCAAGATGTGTGTATACACACGATCCATTTCTGCCATGAAGCACACACATGTAACCCTCGCTCCTTCTTTCCCTGCCTCGCCCTCTACACACCTCAGCTCAGTCAGGTTAGGAGAGTTGAGCTAGTAACAGCTCCGACACAGGGAGCCTCTTGGCTTCTTTATGATGATGACGCAGATACTCAACTAGCAGCAGACAGGCTTACCCGAGGGTTCCCAGTTTATCATGCATTCCACTTCCAGAGACAACATAATCCAGCATGATAAAGCCGCAATCTCTGCCTAATAGGTTGGATAAGCCCTGTTGTTCCAGTTCCTGTTGATCTGCTCCACCAACATGAAGCTCTACATCACTCCCATGAAGTTACCCACAAATATTCATTATTAATTCCTTTGTTAATTTCTAAATCAACCAATTTTAAATCCGCCTTAAATGCAAATATTTCAAAACTTTCGTTTTTTTAAATAAATGTTAGAAATATCCATTTTTAGATCTCTTTATTTTACTATAGTGACTTTTAAAGTCAACATTTTGAAATATGGAAATCTAGGCGGGTTATATCTTGGTTGGTTGGATTTTGAAGTTTCGAATTTGTTTTATTCTTTGTTAAATTAAAATCCCATTTTAATTTAACCCCCAGTAGGGGGTAATGTTAACACAAATTCGAAATATAAGGAAGACGATTTTTCCGACTCAAATGCCGTAGCCTTTTCTCAAGATGTGTGTATACACACGATCCATTTCTGCCATGAAGCACACACATGTAACCCTCGCTCCTTCTTTCCCCGCCTCACCCTCTACACACCCCAGCTCAGTCAGGTTAGGAGAGTTGAGCTAGTAACAGCTCTGACACAGGGAGCCATCTTGACTCCTTTATGATGATGACACAGATACTCAACTAGCAGCAGACAGGCTTACCCGAGGGTTCCCAGTTTATCATGCATTCCACTTCCAGAGACAACATAATCGCTCAAATCCAGCATGATAAAGCCTCGATCTCTGCCTACTAGGTTGGAAAAGCCCTGTTGTTCCAGTTCCTGTTGATCTGCTCCACCAACATGAAGCTCTACATCACTCCCATGAAGTACCCACAAATATTCATTATTAATTCCTTTGTTAATTTCTAAATCAACCAATTTTAACTCCGCCTTAAATGCAAATATTTCAAAACTTTCGTTTTTTTAAATAAATGTTGGAAATATCCATTTTTAGATCTCTTTATTTCACTATATTGACTTTTAAAGTCAACAAATAGCATTTTATTAGACAAATGAATTAATTGGTGAATAAATGGTGTGCTCTGCCATTGGGAGAAAATTTATCTTGGATTTAGAATAAAAATCCCACGACGTTCTTTCCTTGTTTCATGGCCTGAAAGTTTTGACGAAATATCCGGATTTATCTTGTTTTCCCCGGGATTGATAGATTTTTTCACAGTAGAGGCGGTCGGAGTTTTCAAGTCCAGTTTACAGATCTTTGAGGTCGGCGCCGGAAGAATCTGAAAAAAGTGCCTCATTTTAACTATTTTGTCAAAATTAATTAAAATCAACGATCAAAACGGATGCTCTGCTCTTATAAGCTTATAGTAGCATTAACTTATCCCTATTTCTGTAATTTGACATAATTTTTTTCTCAATATTTTCTTTTTCTAATATGTAATGGCTTGTTTTAACTTTTACTAAATGTAAATATTTTTGTATAAAAAATATGGGAGGTAAGGGAAAGGGGGGAGGGTCAAAAGATATACTCGCGTTACTCTATAAAAGATTTAAAAGACAGCTTTACCTTCCTATATCTGCCGACCAATAGTGATTCATTCTGCTTAGTTCTTTCATCTTCAGGAGAGGGAATAGGTTTTAGGTCTTCTTCAAGTTTTTGATTTCTTCCCTTCCAGTTAATATTTTGTTTATTGGGGGCAGAGATTGCAGGAGAAGTCTCTACATTTCGCGCATTTAAACTTAAAATCTAAAATATTGATCAAATTATTTAGAATAAAAATAAAAACTCAAATTTGTCGCAACAGTTTTTGTGACAAAAAAATTAGGCTTTAATGACGATCGTTTATTTATTGAGTACCGAGCGCTACACGCTACACGCTACACGCTACACGCTACACGCTACACGCTACACGCTACACGCTACACGCTACACGCTACACGCTACACGCTACACGCTATTAATTTGAGTTAAGGTCTTCTTTGTTTTAGCTCTTGATAATTTATGTAATAAAACAAGTTACTTTGTGACTACCATCAACAATATATTTCTTAATACCTGCTCAGGGCACATTTTCAGAGTTAATAGTTACATATATATAATATATATATATATATTGAAAAATTCCTATCGTTGTGTTTCTGAATAAAAGACACGTGTCTAAAGACGATTTTCATTTAACTTTTTTTACGATTCTAATTTGGCCACGAAGTATACAGCTATTCTCAATATGTAAAAAAAAGGGAAGTAATCTGCGCAATCGTCTATAAACTATTATTTTTTGTGAATTGTGGGTAATCTGGTCTCAAATTAACAAACAAAAAGTAATCTAAAATAATGCTTATTTTTGAATGGGCGTTACTATCTAATTTTTTAGTCTAAATTTTTTTAATACAAGGATTTAAAATTATGTTTTAAAAAAACCACATTTACCTTTCCCTCTGTCCTGAAGTTTGAGAAGGTTGATGTTCTGCTCCCAACACAATGATTCTTCTTGTGAATTCTAATCAACAAACTGTTGTTAAGTGCTCGGTCCAATAATCAATATCTTCTCGTCTTTATAAATTATTAAAATGCTAGTTGTTATCAAATGTTCATGACACGATGAAATATCACAAAGGCAAGATGAAAAATATATAAAATTTTCCTGTATCCGCCCCTCAAATTCTCCCTGTACAATAGAAAAAGTAACAAAAATTTAAAACCATTAAGCATCAACAAACTATTAAATAAATTATTTAACTATAAAAAGATAAACAACTATAAAACAGGTAAACAAACTGTTTAAACGATAAAAAGGACAAATGATAAAAATTAACAAAAAATAAAAAATATAAACAAACGATAAAAAATGTTAGTTCTATTTAAATAATTGTTAAATAAAAGTTGCTACCTGAGATATTTTTCCTTGACATTATTTCCGCAACTTGGACAGTCCACCATCTTGTTTCTCTCTCTGATCGTCTTCATTGAGTCCATGGGGCAGTGGTGGGAGCTCAAGTGTTTAACTACCTGAAACGGGACGGATCACTACCTGATAAAGGGACTATAAGCATAATTTCAAGTGACTCGCCATGCAATAAATCATTAAAGTTAAAACTGCTTGATTAGACAAAGGCATTTCAAGGGTAACATTGTGAATCGGGCATTGCTATCTTTGCATGGGGGTACTTGAAATTTCACTTAAAGTTCCTTGAAAGGGGGATAGGAGGAACCATAATTAAGAGAATCTTATGATCCATGTACAATATTGATATTTCGATGTGATGTTTATTGAAAATTAATCTCATGAAATCTCCGCATATGCATATGCTAACTTAAAGACGAGGGCGAGAGTATTTTGGAAATATATTTTTTCATTTTTCTATTTTCAATCTTCTTGATACATTTAAAAACAAAAACAAAAAAGTTCGTGGATTTTGTTAAAATATTTCGTGAATTTTCAAAATTTAATAAAAATTGAATTTTGTTGGAGGCTAATATTTGAAATTTTGATCATCCATAAACCTTTCTTTAGGTCATGGTCCCACACAAAATTTGAGCCAGATCAGTTTAGCCGTTTTGCCATTTATTGGATACAAAAGAAAAAGACAAGCAAAGTATATATATAGATAATTCATTGTACCTTCCCACACATCTCGCAAGTATCAACGTTTTTGAGAGTATGATATTTCTCCTGATGGGCCTTTAAATTCATAAACCTAAACAAACAATAATTCATAGATTCCATATTTGAATGAAATTAATGCAAATGAATTAAAAAAGGGTTAAAAAAGCAATGCAAATGAATGAAGATGAATGAAGATGAATGAAGATGAATTTTTTTTTGCAAATTAAAGAAAATTAATAAAAACTAATGGAAAATGAATCAATGTAAAAAGATTGAAACTGAAAGAAAACGAATAAGTTCGTAAAAAACTAACAAAATTATATAAACAAATTAAAACCAATGAATAAGAATAAATTACTAAAGAAAACCATCTTTACCTGACACCGCAGAGTTTACATTTTTGTTTAGTTTTACAGTGAACAGTTTCAATATGCCTCTCCGTGTGATGACCCATATTATATCCTCTACAAGAAAAAGAGGTAAACAAAAAAAATATTACTATTGTTGTCATTTTTTATTTAATGAAAGAAAATTGCTGAGGTTGTTCCTGGCCCCAGGCAATCCCATTCATCAGCACTCCCCCTATCGATACGCATATTCATCACGCCTGGGGTAGCCTGGTTAGTCTTCTTAAGGCATGTAATATTTTTAAACCCTGAATGTAAGCGTAAGTGTCATAATTATTAGATTAATATCGTTGTCATAATTTTTAGTTCTAACGAAAAAAAAGCCAAATACTGGATAAGCTGTCAGGTAAAATTTTACAGAAAATATCCAGGTTCTGTACAAAAAAAAATCCAGGACCCGGATATTAACTAATCCAGGATCCGGATATCAACTAATCCAGGATCCGGATATCCAGATCAATGATCTGGATCCGCATCAAATATGAAATATCTTGAAGATGAGACAAAAAAGGACTTACTTTCCACAATACGGACAGGGGTAAACACCCTTCAGGTTTAGCTGAGGCCTATGCCTCCTGAAGTGGGATAGTACAGATGCATTGCCTGCTCGTATATTCTCATTACAAATCCTTAAAATGTATAAAAATAAGATTTAATATAAAAACCGTCATAAACAATGGGTTCAGAATCACGAAAAAATCAAACTTGGCCCATCTTTCCTTCTACATCTGTGCCTGTCCCTCTCAGACTGTCTCCGGAACTACCAACGATGCTGCCTCGGAAACCTTTAAAGCTAAATCCTGTACCTCCGTTTTCCTCCGATACTACTTCCATTTTTTCCTCTGATCCTGCAACCATAAATACTCCGATATTGCTTCCGATAATGCTCCAAATGCTACATCCACTGCTATTTACAATACTTCCTCTGATGCTGCCTCCAATACTACCTCTGATGCAGAATCTTATACAACATTCGATACTGCCTCCGATACTACTTCCTATAACCTGCATTAATATACATTCCGACTTCAATACTACCTCCAAACACTATCTCCAATACTGACCTGCACATTATGTACTCATGGATAGATTCAATGACAATCTCATCTTCAACCTCATCTTCATGCTGCTGCTCCAGCTCATCTTAAGTAAAAATATCATCATTAAGACTGTTTACAGGGTTGATTGAGTCTTCTCTTTTCAAGTTAAATCAAAGGGTAAAAAAATTACTACAAGCAAACTATATGATATAAACATTTTGATAAAGGTTTAAGGCGCTTCGCATTTCGTTTTTTAATGTTTATCTGGATAAGTTAGTTCGGTATTTCTCTTACGACCCTTAAATTCTCCTGGTCCTGGTTAAGCAGATATAATTGTTTGCATTTTTGTTGATAAGAAGAAAACCAACCAGCTTCGGCATAAAAAGGTAGAATTTTTATTTCTTAATGTTAATTCATAAGTAAACAGACTAGTTTAACAGAAGATACCCCCTTTAAACTCCGAGACAGTACACAAAATAAATTATCCCCTCTAGTAAAATTTATGTGCCCCCCCCCCCCCTCCAACAGTCACACCAAAAAAATTATTTCTATATAAATAGTTCCTACCTATTTGTAGAGGAGATTCAAGATCAAACTCCTCCGTCATTTCCTCAATACCGAGCTGAATCTCATCCTCCTCCTCCAGTTTAACCTGAACCTCCTCGTCCTCCAGGGTCTCCATCTTGACCTCGACCTGGCCGAACCTCTCCAGGTCCTCCTCCTCCAACTCATCCTCTTCATCCCAGCTCAGTGGGTCGGGGTCTATCTCCTAATCCAACATATCTTCAAATCAAACTAACTTTTTTTCCTTTCAAGTATATTTAGCATAGAGAATAGAATATATAGAGGAATTAAAAGAATCTCTCGGTATGAATTTTCCCCCTATCCTCAAGAATTTCTAATATTTCAATGGGTGGGAATTATATAACTGGAAACGGCTAATTCTATTAATTCTATTTGTAGGATTTTTAGAATGTACTTAAAAGATTCTACCCCCCCCATACACATTCGTTTAGAAAGTATCGCGAATGGTATTGGTTCCCCTTCCTTTTCCAATACATACTCAAAGCCCCTGCCCCCCTCCCTCGTCTCCGATTTTAATCCCCCTGATTTGATTTAAGATTTGACTAATGTGTCTCTCGTGTCAAAATCAGAGCTGAGATAAGAGCAATTAAACATATCTTCCGAGGTATCTTTGCATTCAAGATTAGTTCTGGAGAAATCAATCTGATCCAACGTGATTCAACCAATTCCTACTGAAAAAAAGTAAAATTTCCAGTAATTTTTTCTGTTAATATTCCTCAATTTCTTAACTTTTTATTTAATAAATTAAAGAAAGATAGAAAATAATCAACAAAATTTACCAAAGGTTTTAAATCCGACAAATATGATATAAACCATTTTTGTTGTTAATATTTAATATTTGAAGATATTTTCCTTGTGTCGTGGCTGGAACAGTAGTTTGGGATTATTTCGCAATACTTCAATTACTGGGACACCCGGTAGTATTATACTAAACATACACTTTTAAGGGAAAGGACGATGTATCACTTCTTTCAAGTCGAAATTGAGCTAAAGATATTTAGTTTCGGTGACGACTTGCTGATTACATAAGGCTGTGGTTTTATTGTTTTGAGCTCGGTTGGGGGGGGGGGGGGACATTCATTATTGAAACAAAATAGTTGTCAAAATAACAAGAAAGTAGTTCCCGGGCGTTTAGTATTAGAAGACACCTTTAGATTTTGCTCGCAATTATATGACCGAACGAATTTTGTAATTATTAAAATATTGTTAGAAATTATAAACATCATTTTCTAAATATATGTTTGAGAATATCTTTCACATTCTTCTCAAAATTCCTAACTAACGTGTTTTGAAAGTTCTCAGTAATTCAATATTAAAAACAGAAAGTTTTTTTTAACAATGTGCATACATACTACATAGGGCGCAGCTACCCCGTTGAAAGGTTGAAAGGTTGAAATTTACCTCATTTGATCTTGTTGAGTTAACTCCTGGTTTTTTACACAATAATGTCTTGAGAGAAAATCAGGGGGAACCTGCCCGCCACAATCTTCACATTCTACTACATAAAATAATAATAATGATAATGATGATAATGATGATAATGATGATAATGCATGATGATAATGATGATATTGATGATGATGATGATAATGATGAAAATGATAAAAATGGTGAAAATGATGATAATGATGATGACAATAATGATGATAATGATGATAATGATGATAATGATGATAATGATGATAATGATGATAATGATGATAATGTTGATAATGACAATGATAATAATAGTGTTTCTATAATAAAATATTTGTTTAACATACGTTAAGTTAAATTAATTGCAAACGTCAGAATTATCATGTCAGACCATTATAATTAGTTTGATACGAATCAAAACGAATCAAAGATAAAATTCTTGTCTTTATGAATTTTTAAGTGTATTAGCAAGGGGTTGCAACACTTCAGAGTTAATCCGGTCTAGAAAACTGAGGCTTAATTTTTAAAAGCTGTTTGGATCTCTATGGTGAGTGAAAAAGAGGAGAAACAACTTATCAACTTATAATATAAAAAATACAGGATATATTTCATTGCTACAATTAGTGAACAGTGTAGGTAGATATACATCCCCTATCATTCTATGAAGCACCCCCCCCCCCGTCCCCTCAAAAATTCCCCCATTCTTTACTACACTGGCCCGAGTCTTCCCATCCTTTCTTAAAGTGGCTCGAAAACCCCCCTGTCCTTCCATTAATGTGGCCCGAAAATCCCCTTGTCCTTCCATTAATATCGCCCGAAAATCCTCCTGCACTTCCATTAATGTGACCCGAAAATCCCCATGCACTTCCATTAATGTGGCCCGAAAATCCCCCTGTACTTCCATTAATGTGGCCCTAAAATCCCCCTGCACTTCCATTAATGTGACCCGAAAATCCCCCTGTACTTCCACTAATGTGGTCCGAAAATCCCATATTACAGCAATATTATTATACCTGTATCTTCCACGTCCAACCTACTGTTCTCCAGTAGGGTTGAAGGTTGGGGAATAAACTGGATAAATCTTTGCTCTTTTCTCCTGCTCATCAAATACACATTCAAGATCAATTTCACAATGTAAACTTGGGAGTTCGAGTTTGAGCCATGTCCTTGAACCGTCTCTAGTCCTAGCTCAAAATCATTAAATTTGAGCAATCAAAAACAAGACAAACCAGATCAATCAACAATATAACTCAAGATCAATCAAACATTATAACTCCAGGTCTATCAAACAATATAACTCCAGATCAATCATCAATATGACTCCAGATCAATCAAACAATATAACTCCTGATCAATCAAACATTATAACTCCAGATCAATCAAACAATATAACTCCAGATCAATCAAACATTATAACTCCAGATTTATCAAACAATATAACTCCAGATCCATCAAACAATATAACTCCAGATCAATCGAACAATATAACTCCAGATCAATCAAACAATTTAACTCCAAATAAATTTGATTTATGTGGTTTATCTGTTCACAGATCATTTAATCAATTTACAGGATAACAAACACGACTTAACTAAATCAATTAAGAATGGTTCCACGGTTTTCAGAAATCTTGAAATTAACTCGAAGTGAATCTTTTATATATTAATTCTTAATTTTGTTTATGAATGCCATGGTTTATTGTGTGTATCCCTAAATTTATCTGGGGGAGGTTCAATGTTAAACTTGTTAGTATTAACAACCCTATCTCGGAACAAATTCAATTTTACTTCATCAAACTCCGGTTCAGCCCTCTCCGGGTTTCCTCTGCTCGACGTTGAAGTCTCCAGGTTTAATTTAGCACTGATAGGAACAAGATCAGGAATCTTTCTCTTCTTCTCCTTTAATACTTGTCCTACAGGAGGGGTTGGGTTCTCTTCTCTAGGTTCTAGTTTGATACTACCCAGAGTAACAGCTTTTGTAATTCTCTGAGAGCCAGGAGTTGGTTCATTTCCTTCATCTCTCGGTTCTTCCTTGATTTTTGTAGAAAAAGGAACTTCAGGTTTGATCGATTTCGGAGTAAAGTTTGAACCTTTAACAGTTAGTGGTTTAGGATCAAGCACTTTTTCCATGAATTTGGTCCAAGGTCTGAGAAGGCTGGCCTGGGTTGGTTTCACGTTGATATGGTTTCGCAATGGTTTTTCAGGATGACGATAGGAATTGCTTCCTAACAAAACATTTAAAGTTCAAGATAAATAAAGTTTTCAACTTGAAGAAAAACTATTAAAAGAGAATTCTATTTTTTTTTCTCTTTGACCCTTGCTGAACTGCAGAAGGCTGAGTTTGCCGGATTTATAAATAATGAAAAAAAAGTTCTGAAACTAAAATTTTACTACCTCACCAGATAAAGAAATACAAAGAAATTCTAGAACAAAGAAGGTATCCTTTAAAGTTTTGTCTTACCAAGAATGAATGAGATATCCATGTTTAACGTTTTAAAGTTCATTGTTTTAAACTGTGGGGTATCTAATCTTTAAAAGTAACTTGCACATTTTCGACGCGGATAAATTGTGAGAATATTACCAAAATTAATTACTTTCTAAGCTATAACTATAATTTTTAAAACTTGACGTATATTAAAGCAAAATTGCCAATAATAAAAAATAATAATGCAGATATGACACTGGATAATTCGCTATTGTTTCTTACCACTTCGGATAAATTTTGTGCTGTTAAGATATCTATTTTACGACAATAAACATCAATTTTGCACTTTGTTTGTCTAAAACAGATTTTCATCACACGACACCAATTCAAAAATATATGTATTCTCTTGTTTAAAAACTTTACTATATTTAATTTTTTTCACAAAAACAAATATAAGAATTTTAAATAATGTTTTGCCTTGTAAAATCACATGTTTGGATCTTTCTGTGACTCCAGAAATATTCTGTTTATTCCCTAAATAGCATTATTTTTATAATAACCTGTTCAAGGATTAAAAACACTTAAATATGTTATAAATAAATGAAATATTAATACTTCACGAGTTTAAAAACCAATATTAGAATTACATTTGCAGAGATGACAAACTTTTAACAGGATTTCCTTTATAATTCTTAAAAATAGAGTATCCACCTAGCTTTCTCTCTGTGTAAAAATTATTGGTAATTTCCTGATATACGATTTTTGGACCCCTAACACCCCCCGCCCCCTTCCCCCCGCCTATCAATTTTGTACATGCATGGATCTTATATGTAATATGAATATAATTGACCACATTTGGCCTCAACGCCGGCCCCTAGCCTGTTCAACCCTCAGCGCTCGGCCCCCTAGCCTGTCCTAACCGCAGCGCTAGGCCCAGAAAGTGTCTCAACCTAAACTTATCCTAAATATATACTAATTTTGCTGAAAATTGTTGAAAAAGTGGTCATGTAGAAAACTGATAGGAGGGGGAGGGGGGGGGGGGGGTCCAAAAATCGTATACTAGGACGGACCCAAATTACTGAGACATCCTTTTTTTCACTGAAAATGGAGAACATAAAAGTGAGCTACGGAAAGCTTAGCCCAGACAAAGAGAGCCGGGTCCGTCCTAGAGAACGATTTTTAGACCCTCCGCCCCCTCTCCTATCAATTTTGTACATGATCACTTTTTCAACAATTTACGATTAGTATTTATTTAGGGTTAGGTTAGGTTAATTGACACTATCTGGGCCGAGAGCTGCGGCTAGGACAGGCTAGGGGGCCGATCGCGCTGCGCGGCCAGGGGTTAGGTTAAGTTAAGACACTTTCTGGGCCGAGCGCTGAGGCTAGGACAGGCTGTAGGGGACCGAGTCTTACATTTAAGATCATGTAAAAAATTGATAGGGGGGGGGGGGGGGGTTCCAAAATTGTTCTCTGGGAAATTACCGAGAGAAATTGCCTAAATTATAATCTCCTTTTTAAATAGAAAATTATAAAATTATTTTTACTTTTACCTTGAGTATTTCCAAAGATTTTCGGGGTTAGATTTACATGTTGAACGTACTCCGACGATTTTAAATGGTCGTCTTCCGATGGAACAATCTTATCTTCCGGGATTTTTAACTTAACATTTTTGTGGGTCAGAAGTTTTGAATTCAGGGGTTTAATATCAAGTTTTAACTTCTTGGGTTCAGACTCCAAGCTCGGATCTATTTCAGCGGGAATCACAGACGGTTTCAAAATAACGTTTTTGCGTTTTGGGGGATTTTCGTCTATTTTATTGCCAGCAATTCCATCTTTATGTGTCAATGTGACTTTTCGCAGCGTTGCCATTTTCAGATAAATTATCACAGATGGCAAATTTGCAGTTATACTTAATTGTATAAGTAAGAAAATCCGCGCGGTTTGAGATGAATCTATTTGAACCAGATAACAGGTTGTAACAAGTTCTTGTGTTTGCACGCTAGGAAGGTTTATGTTAAACTAGTTCACTTCTTCTTATTAAACACTAGGCTGCACACAAAAATATACTGACGGAGGATACAAACCGGTTTTACTCAGCCTTGTCCCAGGAGGAGTAGAGTAGTAGAGGAGAGTAGGAGAGATGAACCGGATTTGACCCCCCCCCCACAGACACTAGCCAGCTACAGGATCACTGCCTAGGCTGGGGTAATGATCCATACCATACATTTTATTTGTATATATATATATATATATATATTGTAATATGTATCTGCAGCAATCAACAAATAAAATACACTTTTCTTAACTTTCACTTATTAACTGGGTGATAAAAAAAGGTGAAATAGCTGAGATCAATTGCATATAATAAAGCTTGTCTTGGATTCTCGTGTTATGATAATTATATGTATGAAAGTTTTGATTTTTTTAAACAGCAATCTGATAAACCCTTCTTTAAAAATCCACGAAACGATTTTTTACTGAAAATGATTCGAGTAGAAAAACTTAAACGCTAAAATATTTTTTTCCTGTCACATCTTCAAATCTTAGATTATGAGTAGTTTTAAAGAAACTTAAGTTCAGAAAATCAGCAATCCACATAATAATTAATGATACATGCACTCTTTGAGGGGAATTTTCGTGATATTCTACTTTAAATTTGATTTCAAAATTCACATTAAAAAACGAATCTGAAAAGAATAAAAAACAAATTGATTTTTTTTTCTAAAATAAAATTGCGGATTTTCTGAATTAAATTACAAATTAGCTAGTTTTATTCCGACTGAAGATTGGGTCACAGAAGTTTATCTACAGGGTGTCCCAAAAAAACATGGGAATTCAGTGACGAATTCGATATCGTCTTTGTTATGAATTAGCTCATTGTAATACCTAATTTCAAAAGCCATAATATTATTATGTCTGCTCGAGTTTATTTAATGAAAAGGGTAAAAGACTGCAAAGATGTGTGTATAATGTCTCCGCAAGATGAACAGTGAATACGGACAAGTTTACTCTGTTTGTATACTGTAATTTTCTTTTTTTACTAAGTACAACCGGTTGCATTCAAAACATAAACAAACAAAATGTGAACATAGCAGACGAAACTCTTATAGATTACAGCTTTCTCAGTAGGTATCACATTACTAAATCAAAGAATTATTTGAAAAGACGATATCGAATTCGTCACTGAATTCCCATATTTTTTGGGACACCCTGTACAATATAGATTTATTTAAAAAAAAGATTTCTTTAATATCCGGTGTAGTGCATGGAAACACCTCCCCCTAAAGTTTTAACCATTTCAACACAATACTGGACATAAAAAGCAATTAAAAACATTAAAAATTTTTAAATGACATTTATCAAATGTATTTAAAGATGGTAAAGGCAAAAAAAGTTATTTTCTCTTGAATGTTGTCTTCTTTTTAAATCATCAAATAAATAATATTTACTCGAGAAATAGATAACTTTTAATATGTTTTTCCAATCAAAATATATTAATAATTAAGTTTTTTTTTCAATTAATATAAATCTTTTTGATTTATAATAATTGACTAAGAATTAAGATTTTCTCAAAATTCCAGATGGTTATAAAAGAATTCCCTTTAATATATCTGCAATCATTTTAATCAATTTTAAAATAGATTTTATAAATGTTTTTAAACATAATAATTTACTAAAATTGAATGCCGGATATGGGAATTTGAACAATTCATTTTCAAGCCATTTGTAAATTTTCGTAAGAGTTTTATACTATATTACGTAAATTTCAGTATTTGCGAACATAATAAATAGCCATGAATATGCGGGAACAGTTTTAAAGAGTTCCATATAATCATTTAATTAAAAAACTAAATATCTGCAACATTCCATTATCAGAAAGTGAAGAATACGACATTTCATGAATTCTTTTGATGACAAAGATTATTATAATAAGAAAATGTACGAGTTTCTGAACTGCATACTTATCCATTCTAATATTAAATATCATATATAGTACAGGGTTACCCACAAAGTATGAGACTCCATGAATATTCGTTTTTCTTAACAATGTTGGTTCCTTGGACCTTGATACTTGTTCAACTGTGAAATCCATAAAACTGTGAATGAGAAAGATATATGTCACTATATATAATGTTTTGGTAAAGCTAAATTGGAGCCCCGGCATCAAATTCTCATACGTCTGTTCGGTTCAAAGGTCTAGGGTGCACTGTTGAATCTTAATGAATCAGTTCAGGTTAACTACTCCGCATTCATTAAAAGAACAAAGAGATAAAGGTGTGAGGCTGGGGGAGGTTTTTAGCATGAGTCACCTATACTTTAAATATTACATGGTAACTTTGCTAAATTGGCTTGAACACTTCTTGCTTAGAACTAAAACAATAGAGAAATTATCAGAATGATGATGGAGAACTTAATAAAGATAACGATTTGAAGGTTAAATTTGATATTTTACTTTATATAATATATATCTAGCCTTTAATTTACCTACGAAATTATTTGTCTTTCAGTAATACCAATAAAATTTTTGAATAGGAAGACGACTTTCAAATACAATATATCATTTTAAATATTCCGCAGAAAATTAATTACAGAAATTGAATGTGAGCATGGAGTACGTGAGTCAAGCGCATTGGAACAAGACATTTTAAACTTTGTACTCCCAAGGTTTAATTCCCAATGGTACTTCTCCCGAGGTTTCAGTTCTCAACGAACCTCTTCCCAAGGTTCAGTTCTCAATGATCCTTCTTCCATGGTTTAGTTCTCAATGATCCTCTTCCCAAGGTTCAGTTTCAAATGATCCTTATCCCATGGTTCAGTTCTTAATGATCCTCTTCCCAAGGTTCTCCTAACGCTCCATTCTCGATGATCATTTTCCCAAGGTTCAATTCCCAATGATCCTTCTCCCAAGGTTCAGTTCCCAAATTTCATTTTCCCAAGGTTTAGTTCCCAATCATACTCCTCTGAAGGTTTAGTTCCAAATGGAACTCCTCCCATGGTTTATTTCCCAATGATACTATAATTTCCAAGGGTCAGTTCCCAATGATCGTCCTCTCAATAATACTTCTTCAAGGTTCAGTTCACCCTAGTATATAACTACATATAATGTACTAATCTCTATTTTAGTGTTTGTTTGTTTCTAAGTCTGTTAATAATGCAAAAAAAAACTTGACGGATTGCATTGGTCTCAATTTGTTTTGGGTAGTTCGTTAAACCACGGGAAAGTCCTTATTTTTTTTTAATCAGTTGGATATATATAAAGTTGACGCCTTGGACGACTAAAATTTCCTTGAAAGACCCATTATCTATAGATTTTAAAACTTCATTCATGTGAGAAATTTTTCAGAAAAATGAAAGGGCTGAAAAATATATTCTTTTTAGATATGTAAGAGACAAATTAGAAACTAACATCTTTAAAACTTAAGTTTTCATAAATTTCTTATTAAATTTTGAGTTACTTACTTTTCTTACAATTTTTTGTACATTTTATAATCAGATATAGCTTAAGTTATTTTAAAATTATATGATCAGTTATTTATAATTAGGTATATGATTAGAATAATAAAAGTAACCAGAGATGGAATTTAAAGAATTTGAGCCGCGGTTTAAATCCGCCAAAACCCGTTTTAAATCAAGCGCCGGCTTAAATCTTGACACATTTGATACAATTTTAAGTGGAACCAACCATATTTAAGCCGCGGTTTAAATTTAAACCGCCGCTCAATTTCTTTAAATTCGGCCACTGGTTTGATATTTAATTGAAAAAAATTCATTTCCTAGCAGCATTCCTTGTGCTATCATTTAGGAAGAAAAATTGAGTTTTTGACACAAACTCTGATTTTCTAATCCCTATATCTTTGCAACCTAATAGTGTAAACCTTAGATATTTCAAACTCAGATTATTTGACATAGCAGAAATATTTCAGGTCTACGAAATTGGGTTGCAAAGATATATCAGCGATTAGAAAATTAGAGTATGTGCCAAAACTTTATTCCTTTTTTTCCTTGATTATAATTATTCTTAAATATTATAATTTCTTCTCCCCCTCTGAACTTAACACTGCACCCTTTTTTATTAGTCGGCCCGGCCCGGCACTGGTTTAGTTTAAATTTGAATGATTTATCTTTAACTTTAATTTAGTAGTATTGCATGAGATTGACACTTGACAGGGTAGTAAAAACTAGTAATTAGTTGATATATTGTCATCAGAGGGGAGGAATGCCAGCCATATCTTTTCCATATCCGAGCCACATTCTCTCCATTTTTTGTTTCGAGCCACCTGTGATGGATCCCACCTGTGATGGATCATCCTTGTTATTTTCATTTTTTTAACCGACGAACCCTTCAGCTTGCAGTAACTCTTTTATAAAAATCTGGTCACATGGGCATTATTCAAATATTGAAATTTCATGAATCGATGAAAAAGTTTCATTGATTATCAATATTTTATGTCTTTAAAGTCAAACGTTGCACTATATACAATGTACATAAAGGCACAAAAGATTTAAGGTTTAACTATATAACAACATACTCTAAATATAAAGGGTTAAGACAAGATTAGAGTTTAAAAGATCAAGAAATAAAGACGTTAGAAGAAGAATTTTGCAATGATACGCATTTTAAAGTGGCTTAGAAGACAAAATTGTGCAATTGTGGCACGGTTACTGAAATGATAAGGTTTGCCACCCCCCCTCGTCGTTGCAGATATTAAACCTGTTTATGTAAAACTGTTTGAAGTAAGAGCACGTTACCTCCAGTCTAGAGTAGAAATATACAATTATATCTAAAAAAGAGTACGCGGAAGATTTTGGATTGTTTAACTTTGCCGTTTAAGTCTTCTATATATATATACTAATTTCTTGTTTGTTTGTTTGTAACCGGTAAACGTTGAAACGGCTGCTGATGAACCGATCGGGCCCGAATTGTTTGTGGGAACTCATCTAATCTCAGAGAAGGTTCATGGATGCTTAGAATTGAAAAAATTTGCCTTAACAAATTTCTTTTTTTCAAAATCCACGAAAAAATATCGATAAAAGAGCTAGACTCGCTAGACTTTAATTTAAATGTTAAATTCTTAAAGTTAAATACGGATGTAGCAGATGATGATTAAAAGTGCTTTATGAAATAAATATCTAAATGTTATTGCTATTTAAGTTTCTCAGGCTATTGTCGGATATTCATTGGAATTTAAGCAAGCAAAGAATATTTAAAATAAAATT